TTTAAACTTTATTATTTTTTATAAAAGCTTATATTTATATAGCGTTCATTATAATTTTTTATATATAAAATATTAGCTATATTAATTAAAAATAAGGTTTTCTTTAGTATATTTACTATAAAATAGTAATATTTATCTCTAAAGCGTTTTTATATATAATAATATTAAGAATACTTTAAGGTTTAAATCTTAATATAACCTTATTTAGTAAGTAGCTAATTATTATAATAAAAATATTATTAAGATTATACTATAAAGAAAGTAATATCTCTATTTACAAAATATTAAGGAATTTAAAAATATTGGAATAAATAGTAATCTTAACTATTTAGTTTATTTATTTATTTTAGCTATCTATCTAGAAGTAATATATTATTAATAAAAGAAGTTTTGTTAATAAAGTATTAAAAACTACTATTTAAATAGTAAATATAAACTTAAAGTTTTTATTATTAATAATATAATAAGGAATGTTTTAATTAGTAATCTAAAAACATTTAAAAAATATTTTTATTTATTTCTTTATTTTATATATATTGTTACTAATAAGTAATAATATTTTTTTAAAAACCTTATATATAACTATTACTAATATATTTAGTTTAGAGAAGTTAGATAATATTAATATTATTCTTAATGAACTAATCTTTAATATATTTATAATAAAATCTATTATTATAATGTTATAAACTATATTTATAACTAAAAGAAGCTAATATAAGCTTAGTAATTTTCTTTAATTAATTTAGTTCTGTTTATAATAACTAAAATATAATATATATTGTTTAATAAAAAACTATATATTATTAAACTAAAAAGTTTAAAATTTAGCTATTATTCTATTGATACTAAAATAATATTTATTACTATATATAAAATAAAGGATTATTTATATGAAATATTATAAAATATAGAACTTTTTTATACTATTAATAAAATAATAGAAAGAAAATCTTTTAGCTAAATGGTTTATAATATTATTTAATAATATTTTAATAATTATTATTATCTCTTAGCTTCTTTTAGATTTACTTTTAAAAATTATGATTATTAATTTAAAGCCAACTTAATTTAGTTAAATTACTAAAAGATTTTATCATACTTCTTATTATTTGTATAATTATTAATAATTTTAGTAATACATTCTTTAGAGATCTTTAAAATAATATCTCTTTAAAACTTTAAAGTTTAGGTTTTATCTAAAAACAAAGTAATATTTATAGCTTTATTGAAATTGTCTTTACTACTATACATAATCTCTAAAAGAATATCTTTATTTTTAAACTTATTAAAATTACTAAATACTCATTAAATAAAGAAATAAAATAAAGTATTAAGTATTATATCAAGCTTTTGTTAAAATATAAATAATATTTAAGTTAGATTAAGAGAAATAGTTAGTAATATTAATTAATTTTAAATTACCTTTATCTAAATCTATAATTCATAGTAATGTATAAATAAAGATTTTTTATAACTATTTAATTTATTAAAGTTTAAATTAAATAAGAATTAGATTATATAAATATTTAGAGTTTCTTTATTATTTAAATAATTTTTATAACTTCTACTTCTATTATTAAGTAATATTTCTCTAAAAGAAATATTACTTTATGTCACGGGCTAGAGCCCGGCCGAGATCTCCGGCTTTGCCGGGGCAGTTACCGAGATCCGGCTCCGCCGGATCCACTATTCTACCGTGGCACACCGCCTAGCCCGACCACGTATCTCCGTAGCTAGGCGCCCACTCTTGTAAAGTCCTTCTCCTCTTCAGCTTAGAATAGTCAATCAACGGCACCTCTACGTTGAACAAGCCTAGGGGCCAGCCCCTTACACTTTAAATAGAAAAAATATAAATAAAATGTATTTCTATATAATATTTTATTTTAAAATATTGGTTCTATTCTATAATATATCTAATTAGAATATTGTAAACCTAAAGCTTTTTTTATTAATATTTATTTTAAAAAAGAGAAGTTTATTAAAATTATAATAATATTTTATAACTTTAAAATAGAAATTCTTTTAGAAAATACTTTAAGATTTATATTTAATATTTACAAATTTAAAAATTATATTTTAAACCTTTTATATACAAATTAGTTTATTAAACCTTATAAAAAAAGTGTTATTTATCAAGTTTTGTATTAAAATAAGCTTTGTTTTCTTATAAAATAATAATAATAATATTAAACTATAGAATATTATATTAAAAATTATTTAGCTATTTTAAGATATTTCTTAAAATTATAAAGATTCTCTAAAGATTTAAAGTTATAAAATATTATAATTTAGTTATTAATATATTAAATCTTATTGTTATTTATAGTATAACTAAAAAGTTTAAGTTTTATAAATGTAATAAATAATTTCTTTATTAAAATATTAAATTAATTACTTTCCAAAATTTTAGATATAGTTATAATATATTTAAAATAATCTTTACCATTATTACTAAATATTATAATATTATTAATATATATATATAGATAAAATTTTAATAGTTATATAGTAAAACATGAGACGGCTTGCCTGCCTTCGGAAATGGCGGTCCTGACATGCCATTTTCGGCACCTGCCACATCGGGTAATTCTCGGCCACGCGATCCCTCGCCGTTTTTGCCGTCCCATAAATGAGCGCCTGCCCCGCCCAACGCGCCGACGTACCTCGAAGTTCCCTTTGTATCTTTTCCTTCTCGCAGCTTCGCCCTGCGCCACTTTCATGTTCCTTCCGCCCGCCTCAGCCACATCCACATTCTACCACAACGTTCGCCCTGCGTCAACATCCATTCAACTCCCACTCGCGATAATAAACCACACGATGAACCACCAGCTTTTCCCAACACCAGTTAATGCCGGTGCTTGGATAGCCAAGGTATCTCTTTTCCGTTACCTCCGCCCGTTATGCCGATGCCAGGTGCAGCGTGCCCCGCACAGCAGGCTCCGGTGCTCTCCTGCTGGAACAGTGTTGCTAATTTCCTCAGTGTATTGCCGTTTATGGTAATCTGGTCTACCCTCGTCTGCTGCCTTACGCCTTCTCGATTCCGTGCATTGTCGATGTCAACAATTCCTAAGTACCCGAGGGAACGCCTAGCGGGCCCGTCGCCCGTTCTCGAGGGTTCCCCTTACCGTCCGTCCATGCCCACCTCGCCTTACCATCCGACCCAAAATGGCCTCTTCTGGTAATTTGAGGACTCAGGGGGGATCATAGGATGAGCTACGGAACCATACAACGGGCCAACGCTGGTCCGAGGTGCCACCTCAGTTCTCGCGACTGCTCCGTTACAGCCGCCCAGGAGTGAAGCCGTGGGTGCCTCGCCTTCCCTCAGACCCAAAATTACCTCTTCTGGTAGTTTGACAACTCAACAGGGGTCGTGGGATGCGGTACGGGATCATGCAACCATGCAGTGGTGGTGTGAGGTGCTGTATCAGGCTACGGTGATGTCCCTGAATGTCCATACTCGGGCGAATAGAGGCAGGGCTTGACCGAGTAATCGCTGTCTTTAGTAATTTCCAAGCCTTCAACCTTGTCAGCAGTTGAGAGTTGGCAAAGAGGGCGAGAAACACCACATGTCGCAGAGATAGGCACCCAGCTAGGCTGGTGGTCGAGAAAGGATAAAGTCCGCCTCGCTGAGGCCCCCCTGGGCTTCAGGGACGCATTGGTCAGGGGCTACAATGGCTTATGCTAACAAAATTCCCTTGTTGGGTAATTCACGTCTCGACTGTAGCCTGGGCGTCCGGCTCACCTACCCCTCGCGAAGTGCCACCGACGATGACAGCCTCAAATAAAGCACGCCAGCCTGGCCATGTACGCCCCGCGGCTCCGCTGTTGAACGACAGCCTGGACACGTCATCCTCGAGATAGCCTGCTTCTCGGTGGCTTGGCTCATGTAACGTCGACCCAGACCTGGGATATGGTTCGCAAAGAAGTCTTCTATCCGAGACCCCGAAAATCGACTGATGCTGGCAGCATGTGAGCCAGTGTACAACAATTCGGAAACCGCCGCAAGGAGTCGCAGAGCTTGCCCTGATATGCTGTCTTCCACTGGCCGGGATCACATTTCTCGCAGCACTCTCGCAAGGAGTCGCAGAGCTTGCCCTGATATGCTGTCTTCCACTGGCCGGGATCACATTTCTCGCAGCACTCTCGCAAGATGAGGAGCAGGGGCTCGCCAACGAGATTGCCCCATTGGAATGCTTCCAAGCCGTGGGCAGGACTGCCGGTCCTTGAACCTGGACGTTCATAGATCGATACCCAGCAAAATGGACGGTCAGATGTTACGCCGGCGCATTGGGTAGCCGCTAGGCTGGCTTCCTAGGCCACAAAATTGCCTGAAGAGGCAATTCTCGTCTCAACCATGCCGTTCGAGTCTGCCTGGTTTGCCTCCCACAAAGGGGTGCTAAGATGGTATACGAGACGGAGGTTGCCACGAAGCTCGAGCACAGCTCGAAGTGCCGGCGCAATATTCCCAAGACGATCAACAGCTCCGCTACAAAGGCTGCCTCATCCCAATAGCTTGAGACTGTTGTACGGCTTCCGAGGTAGCATTCCCAACGGATCGTGCCCTTGGCCCTGGAGAATCACGGCGCACTTCCCAGGAGAAGCAGCAGCTGACCTCTCTCCCCCATGTCAAGGGGGCGGTCGTTACGCCGGCTGACAGGTTGGTCGAGCTCGATGGAGGGTCGGGTTCAGCCAGACTGGCCTCCCTCGGTGCAACTACAAGTCCGAGAGTTTGCATCGATGGATGGGTGCCTGTCTTGCTCCGCCAACTATGATTCATGCCGCTAGGACCGGGCCTGGTTTGCTCTGAAGGCGGATATAGGAGCTGCAAGCTCCGCTCTGGTTTGGTGAAGGGGCGGTTTGACCCGACTGTTGTATCCAGAGATGGGGCCTTCGGCTCGAAAGAAAGCCTATATAAAGCCTTCCCTCCACCCCTATTACGGTAGCCGACTGATTCTATACTGCTCATACTCAACCTCATTGTTTCTCTTTCATCGAGGATGGCTCACCCCAGCTTCAGAAAAACGCATGACGTGCAATCCTTTGCAAAGCTCTACCAAGAAAAGGAGCGTAAACAGAAGGAGCGCAAACAACAGAAACGTCAACGACAGCTCGAGGAGCAGCAAAAGCACCAGCAAACATCAACGAACTTGTCCACAGTGCTCGCAACACCACTCGAGCAAGATGTCGGAGCTCTCATTTTGACAGAGACTCGGGCTTCAGGCTACGCATCAGGTACGCCCACATCACGTCCTAATAAGCATTGACTTACAATAAGCAGGTGGTCTCGCTAACTCTTTTGCTGGTATTGACGACCTCGAATTCAACTTTAGCGAGGTCTTCGACACAGCCGAGTTATATAGCGATACTCTGGATGACATCGCACACACAACCGAGCCTTTTGCCCTGATCTCCGAGATCGGTGGTGTCACAGCGGAAATTACGAAACCCATCTTGCCAGATGAGATCAAGTCTTTGGAATCCTGGTCGACTTGCACTCCTGTACTAGCCCGGCCTCCCACAGAACCGAGTTCGCAAGAAGTGGCAACTGCCTCTTCACGAAGCGAACAGCCCCTGGCTCCTGACCTGGTCAGACGTTCAACTGAAAAACTTCGCCTAACAAGTTGTCTTAGCGACATGAACATAGGTGAGTGACCAAAACCGCAAACTGGATATATTTAAGACTGAAACAAATATTCACAGATATTGCTGGATCAAAAGAGAGGAGCGAGAGCAGTGACACCGGGGAAAGCTGTGATAATAACGGCTCAGCTAAAGATGATTACGGCAGCTCTTATGATAACGACACTGAGAGTCAGAGATGTCCTCAGCAGTTAGCGGTTCCAGGACCCAAACTTACGAGTCCAGAGTCGTTGGGGATCACCACATCACACATCCTCACCAGAAGCACCTCCGTGGCGCCCGACTCCACGGGGAGTCCGTCATGCGCATTAAGCCCTATTACCAGTCTCTCCGTCAACGCTGCCGCCGCTTCCTTGGATATGGTGGAAGAGCCTCAAACAGACATTTTCGCGCTTCCTACTCCATCCTCAGATCACGCCGCCGTCTCACAGCAAGGTGATGACACCATCACCAGCCGGAGGAAACGAAGTTGTGGGGCAATCGAAGACAGCTGCGAGAGCCATAATCGTCGCTTGCCTAAACGACGCAGGTCACGAGATGCCAACATGGGGACAGTATCACAGGCTCTTCCAGCGAGGACTTTACGCGCACTACCATCTCGAGTCTTGAAAGACAAGCCAGACAAGAGAGGCCTCATAACCCAAAGCGACAGACAACTCCGGCGCTCCTCTAGATCACAGGCACGGTCTCACGCAGCTATCTCTATGAACTGTGATAAGGACCACCCGCACCTTGATGGACTACCTGCACTGGACATGGACCATGCTTTGAGAAGAGGGAAGCGGATGGGAAGACTACAGAGGCGATCGCCAACTACACCGGAAGTTACTTCACCTCGCCTCAACCACTCTTCAGGGGAGCCTAGTCCCCAAAGGTCCGGACAAGCTCTCCTCCCACCTGTCGCCACCACAGCAGACCCATCCTCAACCACATGTCACACCTGTGGCTTTTCTGCAGAACATTTGCTGCGGATGAGTGACACCGTCCAGGCTCTCATTGGGAGTGGCGTTAGCAGTGAAAGGGGATTGGACATGCTTCAGCTGTTCCTTGGGTTTATTAGTGATTATGCCACGAAGAAGCTTCCACACAGCACAACCAGCATGGGAAACAGCAACCAAGAACATGTAGCGGAGTCAACTGTTGGGCTGTCAAACCCTGAAATGGTTAAAAATGACGAAAGTTTAGACGACGACTCTAGAGAAGACAGCGACGGCGACAGCGAAAGTGAAAGCTTGAGTTCTGATCGTAGCGACAGCTCAGATAGTCCTGAAGAAAAGGGTAAACGGCCTCAGCGTCGCCGTTGGACACCTTTGGACGAATTACGTCTGCGTGCATGGATTCAAGAGGGAAAAGAAGGGTCTTGGATTGCTGGTAAATTGCAGCGAAGCGAACAGGCTATTGTTCAACACTGGGCGATCATGAGTAAGCAGGTTAAGAAGACGACAAGAAAATAAATAAATAGTATTTTCACGGAGCGCATTAGGTGTTCAATACTTCCATTCCTCTATTAGGCTGCTTTTCTCACTCCTCAGTCTCAGCTGTAGATGTTGGTTTTGAGTGTTACAGGCGAAGGCAGGGTAATCGAGAAGTCGCCCTCCATTTGAAGTTGCGTCCTTGTACCATCAACCTTTCCTCCCAAGGCTTCCACCACAATATCATTTCTCAACACCCTTGCTTCTTCTGAGTCGCGTTCTTGTCTGCGCGGGCAATGCGACCTGTTTTCTCTTCTGTTGATGTCGCCATAATCTCACGGCATGCTGGCGCTGCAGCTCCTTGTTGCGGGCTGATCTGTGTTAGATTTGCGCCTCTATAGATGCGGCGAGAGGGACGAATTGGTTGTTATCAGTGATGCTGTTGATAAGGGGCCGGTGAATCTGGGAGATCGCGAAGTCAAGTCACCCACTTTTGGGCCCCCCTCACTGGAATCATCTAGATGGAGCTGAGGCGGCTTTTTTTGTGATGGCTTCGCCAACGGCTTCGCCAACCCAAAGTGGTGGGCACCGTTCCGATAAACGGACCATGGAACATAATCTAGACGATCAACTCCGTTTCAGACGGTGGATGTGCCGTCAGACGCTGGAAGGCTAGTCTTGCTCCTGGGCGTGATTCTAAAAAGAACACCATGGTCTCAGGCATCTACTTTGCTGCCTGGGCGCTTCCGGCTGAATCCTATCTTCGCCACAGTGATAGGCTGTTGAACCTCCTCAGCTTCGCCCTGGAAAGCAAGATAATGCTCTCCGCTTCCACACTGCCCTCTGCAGTAAACCACTGCGTAGCCTGATTATTCCCTATGTACGAGAAGCAAATGATTCGACATTATTGAGTTTCGCGCGTGTGAGGCGATTGGAAGCATGCCTGTCACGAACAGGACCCACTCTGTCACGACTCTAACCTGTCCCAGCATCTTGAAGGTTAGCCTAGTACTTGCGGGGCTTTCAATATTACTAGGCCCCGCAAGTACTATGCTAACCTTTCAAGATGCCGGGACAGGTGCTGCGTGAAGTGGCTTGATTAGTCTAGCTACGAACGCTGGGCGCGCCTGGCTACGAAGTGGTGTGGCCGATCCCTTACGTAAAGAAGCCGGCATTGGCCCGGGGCCGAGTTCCGTCTTGCAGGTGCAGACACGTCTCGACGTGATGGACGTGGAGAATAATTCGATCTGTTACTGGGTTGCTTACGTTAACAGCCTTTGAGGCGCACAACAGCTGATACGACGCCTCAAGCCCTGCCGCAGTGGTTACCGCCAGTAACCCTTCTGTCGTCACAAAATATGTGCATGGGGGTGTTGACGCACGTACCAGCAATTGACCAGTGTCAGAACGACAGCGTGGCTACCAGCGAGTAAAGGCATAACTATCTTGAGTGATTTTTTATGTAAAAAGAAGGATAAGTGGCCAGTTGGCCAGATCCATCGAGATATGCTACACTACATGAAACAGATGCAAAGAAGCCATATTGAGGTTAGGAAACAATAGCCGATGCATAGTTGAGATGCTTGACTCGGTTATGCAATGTGGACCTGACAACTGTCAGGATGACAGCGTGGCTACCAGCGAGTAAAGGCATAACTGTCTTGATTGTTGTCTGTATTCAAAGAAGGATAGATGGATAAGTGCCAAGTGGCATCAGTTATCCAGTTCTGATACAGTACATGAAACAAATACAATAAAGCAGTATTGTAGCTAGGAAACAATTTCTGATGCATCTAGTGAATGTCTGAGTCAGATATGCAATATAGGTCTGACAACAACCAGCATAAGGTCGGCATTGGCCAGTAAGCTGTTAGAAATTTAGGAGCTGACATTTGGGGGGGTTGCTGAAGGCGAAGGTGTTACCCAATGCCCTGAAAGGAGACCCCTTCAGACGTTTCTCCTTTTCAGTAGCAGTGGTGTTGAAAAGATTGATGAAGATTTTGAGGGTGCTGTGGCCGGGATCGTTATGGGAAGGATGCCAGGTTTGACCAATATAGGGCGGACAGAACAGAATCTTGTCTCTTCGAGCGGCGTCTTATCAGCTGAGAGCTTGTGATTTGCGGGAGTAGTAGGAGACATCTTCCCCGAGCGGCGGTTGGTGATTGCTGAGGAAGGAAGCTGTTCCTTTGGATGCTCCCCTAGCGGTCGGGAGCGGTCAGTCGGCACCTGCAAAGGAGGAAGCAGCTGGCTTGGCTGGGTAATGAAGATACTTTTGAGGAATGGAAGGAAAGGTCCGTATTCTTTTCCTTCTAGTGACGTAGGACCTCTAGAAGATATGAATAGGAATCACACGTTCATAAGGAAATTAACTGGATCGCATACCTAAATATAGAGAAAGGTGAGATACTAACACAGCAACGATTAAAATTGAATTAAACCAGCATCTTATAATATACATAAGTCGCAGAAAAGTCTTCTTAGACCAAAGAAATCGTCCCCTAAATCATAGGTAATATCAACCATAAACTGGTCCAACTCATGCGGCAACATGAACCAGAACGCCTGAAAACATAACCCATCCATACAATCATAATGAGAAAGACGCCTCATCTGAAGGAGAATATCCACAACCTCCTTGTTAGATCTCCACACAGCCCGCATAAATGGGCTAAACCCATCGTGGTCTCTGACGTTTATATCAGCATTATGGGCGTTGGCGAGTAACAACACTACCTCAACGTGCCCTTTGATAATAGCCCAGGATAGTGGGGTCCGGCCAGTGTTGTCGCTAGAGTTAATGTCTACCCTCCCTGTATCAATGAGCATTTTGATAATAGCTTTATTACCAAATGAAGCTGCCCACGATAGGGGTGTTCGGCCGGAGGTATCTTTCGAATCGATATCGACCTTGCCTGTGTCGAGGAGCATCTTGACCACGGCCTCATGACCATACTCAGCTGCCCACGATAGGGCTGTTCGTCCGGAGGTATCTTTTGAGTCGACTTCTGCTCCGTTGTTGAGGAGAATCTGGACGATCTCTTGGTGGCCTCTAAATGAAGCGGCTTGGAGAGCGTTGCCATAGAAGCCACCCTGAGCGTTGACGTCTGCTCCGTTGTTGAGGAGCACCTGGACGAGCTCTTGGTGGCCTCCAAATGAAGCGGCTTGGAGAGCGTTGCCGTACCTGCCACCCTGAGCGTTGATATTTGCTCCGTTGTTGAGGAGCATCTGGACGATCTCTTGGTGGCCTCCCTCTGAAGCGGCTTGGAGAGCGTTACCATAGAAGCCACCCTGAGCGTTGATATTTGCTCCGTTGTTGAGGAGCATCTGGACGATCTCTTTGTGGCCTCTAAATGAAGCGGCTTGGAGAGCGTTGCCGTATTTGCCACCCTGAGCGTTGATATTTGCTCCGTTGTTAAGGAGCATCTGGACGAGCTCTTTGTGGCCTCCCTCTGAAGCGGCTTGGAGAGCGTTGCCGTATTTGCCACCCTGAGCGTTGACGTCTGCTCCGTTGTTGAGGAGCATCTGGACGAGCTCTTTGTGGCCTCTAAATGAAGCGGCTTGGAGAGCGTTGCCGTATTTGCCACCCTGAGCGTTGACGTCTGCTCCGTTGTTGAGGAGCATCTGGACAAGCTCTTGGTGGCCTCCAAATGAAGCGGCTTGGAGAGCGTTGCCGTATTCGCCACCCTGAGCGTTGATATTTGCTCCGTTGTTGAGGAGCATCTGGACGAGCTCTTTGTGGCCTCCCTCTGAAGCGGCTTGGAGAGCGTTGCCGTATTCGCCACCCTGAGCGTTGATATTTGCTCCGTTGTTGAGGAGCATCTGGACGAGCTCTTTGTGGCCTCCCTCTGAAGCGGCTTGGAGAGCGTTACCATAGAAGCCACCCTGAGCGTTGACGTCTGCTCCGTTGTTGAGGAGCATCTGGACGATCTCTTGGTGGCCTCCCTCTGAAGCGGCTTGGAGAGCGTTACCATAGAAGCCACCCTGAGCGTTGACGTCTGCTCCGTTGTTGAGGAGCATCTGGACGATCTCTTGGTGGCCTCCCTGTGAAGCGGCTTGGAGAGCGTTGATATAGTGGCTACCCTGAGCGTTGATATTTGCTCCGTTGTTGAGGAGCATCTGGACGATCTCTTGGTGGCCTCTAAATGAAGCGGCTTGGAGAGCGTTGCCGTATTCGCCACCCTGAGCGTTGATATTTGCTCCGTTGTTGAGGAGCATCTGGACGAGCTCTTTGTGGCCTCTAAATGAAGCGGCTTGGAGAGCGTTGCCGTATTCGCCACCCTGAGCGTTGACGTCTGCTCCGTTGTTGAGGAGCATCTGGACAAGCTCTTTGTGGCCTCTAAATGAAGCGGCTTGGAGAGCGTTGCCGTATTCGCCACCCTGAGCGTTGACGTCTGCTCCGTTGTTGAGGAGCATCTGGACGATCTCTTGGTGACCTCCTGCTGAAGCGGCTTGGAGAGCGTTGCCGTACCTGCCACCCTGAGCGTTGACGTCTGCTCCGTTGTTGAGGAGCATCTGGACGATCTCTTGGTGGCCTCCCTCTGAAGCGGCTTGGAGAGCGTTACCGTACCTGCCACCCTGAGCGTTGATATTTGCTCCGTTGTTGAGGAGCATCTGGACGATCTCTTGGTGGCCTCCCTCTGAAGCGGCTTGGAGAGCGTTACCATAGAAGCCACCCTGAGCGTTGATATTTGCTCCGTTGTTGAGGAGCATCTGGACGATCTCTTGGTGGCCTCCCTCTGAAGCGGCTTGGAGAGCGTTGCCGTACCTGCCACCCTGAGCGTTGACGTCTGCTCCGTTGTTGAGGAGCATCTGGACGATCTCTTGGTGGCCTCCCTCTGAAGCGGCTTGGAGAGCGTTACCGTACCTGCCACCCTGAGCGTTGATATTTGCTCCGTTGTTGAGGAGCATCTGGACGAGCTCTTTGTGGCCTCCCTCTGAAGCGGCTTGGAGAGCGTTACCATAGAAGCCACCCTGAGCGTTGATATTTGCTCCGTTGTTGAGGAGCATCTGGACAAGCTCTTGGTGGCCTCTAAATGAAGCGGCTTGGAGAGCGTTGCCGTATTCGCCACCCTGAGCGTTGATATTTGCTCCGTTGTTGAGGAGCATCTGGACGAGCTCTTTGTGGCCTCCCTCTGAAGCGGCTTGGAGAGCGTTGCCGTATTTGCCACCCTGAGCGTTGATATTTGCTCCGTTGTTGAGGAGCATCTGGACGAGCTCTTTGTGGCCTCTAAATGAAGCGGCTTGGAGAGCGTTGCCGTATTCGCCACCCTGAGCGTTGACGTCTGCTCCGTTGTTGAGGAGCATCTGGACAAGCTCTTTGTGGCCTCTAAATGAAGCGGCTTGGAGAGCGTTGCCGTATTCGCCACCCTGAGCGTTGATATTTGCTCCGTTGTTGAGGAGCATCTGGACGAGCTCTTTGTGGCCTCCCTCTGAAGCGGCTTGGAGAGCGTTACCATAGAAGTCACCCTGAGCGTTGATATTTGCTCCGTTGTTGAGGAGCATCTGGACGATCTCTTGGTGGCCTCCCTCTGAAGCGGCTTGGAGAGCGTTACCATAGAAGCCACCCTGAGCGTTGACGTCTGCTCCGTTGTTGAGGAGTATCTGGACAAGCTCTTGGTGGCCTCTAAATGAAGCGGCTTGGAGAGCGTTACCATAGAAGCCACCCTGAGCGTTGATATTTGCTCCGTTGTTGAGGAGCATCTGGACGAGCTCTTTGTGGCCTCTAAATGAAGCGGCTTGGAGAGCGTTGCCGTACCTGCCACCCTGAGCGTTGATATTTGCTCCGTTGTTGAGGAGCATCTGGACGAGCTCTTTGTGGCCTCCCTCTGAAGCGGCTTGGAGAGCGTTGCCGTATTTGCCACCCTGAGCGTTGATATTTGCTCCGTTGTTAAGGAGCATCTGGACGATCTCTTGGTGACCTCTAAATGAAGCGGCTTGGAGAGCGTTGCCGTATTCGCCACCCTGAGCGTTGACGTCTGCTCCGTTGTTGAGGAGCATCTGGACGATCTCTTGGTGACCTCCTGCTGAAGCAGCTTGGAGAGCGTTGCCATAGTAGCCACCCTGAGCGTTGACATCTGCTTCGCTCTTTAACAGGTCTTCTACCGCAGACACAATCCCTGCACACGCTACATAGTACAATACTCCAGTCTTATCTCTCTGAGAACTTTCATGTTCTTCTTCCCATGGTTTGTCTGGCTTATAGAGCCGGTAGGAGATTTGTGGAGAGTCATCATCTAAACAAAACTCTCTAATGAGGTCACGGACCCTGCCCGTCTCAGCTTGGACAGCATGGGTCATCCAGTATTGTGCAGCATATTGTGCAAGTGGGTATAATTCTCTGACCCTTACCGACGAAAGGTTGTGGTCCAGCTCCAAAAGGTATGCAAGGCAAACCTCTGTAATAGAAGCTCTAGCCTGTGCCGCCATGAAGGTCCTGGAGATATCCTGCTGTAGTCGGTTGGATATGAGGTATTCCTTCACCGAGAAATGCGCGAGCTGAAGCTCCTTCACTCCATTATCTCCGCCTTCACCTCGAGTAACAACAGCCACTAGGCTTGAGCAGTAGACAGAGATTTCGTCCGGTTGTGGCATTCTCTTTGTGGCGTCAAACCGGGGCCTTTTTTCGGTGACTACAGCAATTACGTCGACAGCTTCTTCAACCTGTAGTGGCCGTTCGGAAAAGGCAAGAAACTGCAAAAGTCGCATCGCCTCCGGTCTGTATTGATCCGGAATCCCATTTAGGACCCTCCCATACGTGTCGTCTAGCGTTCTTGGCAGCGAGTGCAGTGTTCGGCTAAGGCTTTGCTGACTGGGACACTTTTCGAGAGCTTCGAGTTGGCACGAAACCCAGCGAAACCTATCTGGTTTAGCAACAGAAATCAAGAATGTTGGTCTTATCTCACATTCCATTAGCTTTCTCCATCAGATGGCTTTCGATCTCATTTTGGATTGATTTATGTGATCGCCACCGTTTGAATCCTTCGTAGTTTCTCACTGTTCCATGAACATATGCACGTATATCTTCCGTAACAAGGTCGCTCTGGAGGATAATCTGATCGTCGACAAATCTTTCTAATGATGATTTAATATCGTGTTCAGGGCGACTTGTGATAAGAAGGTGGATGTTTAATTGTGGCGAGTGTAGAATGCTTTCAATCCAATGTAGCAATCCTTCGTTCCTCGGGCCTGTTCTCGTCTGGCATTCGTCAAGTGCATCCAGGACGACCCATACTTCGCCGATCTGTTGAACCATGGCCTCAAAGGTTGTGCTTAGCATGTCGATATTCGGCTGTCGTGAAGGACTTTTACAAGAGGAGTACAGTGCGTTCAGGGGCCCTTGAACATTCTGGCTGTTGCGGTACAGCTGAGCGATCAGTGACCGAATCGCCTTTTCAAGCGACTGCTTGCTAGTGTCGGTGAAGTCGAAATAGAAGTAGAGAAGGCTTCTAGTATAAGGCTCAGTGCTACGGAGGTCCTTGACGACGATGGAACTCAGAATTGTCTTCCCACAGCCGGGGATACCGTAAAGCCACAGAGAGGACTTTTGCGTTGTTTTCCATTTTGAGTATTCTTGGCTGTCGAGGAACCACTGACCTGTGCCTTCATGGCGTTGTTGCAAGGCCTTGTTATCATTTGTTGATGGATCCGGCGGGGAGAGCCACTTCATGACTTCCTGGAAATGTAGATCCTGTTGCATGTCTTTTGTGGTTGATCGGATTTGGGAAACATCCTCACATACTGTAAGGAATATAAGTAATGAAGCTTTCAATGTGATCATGAAATACTAACACTGCATGATTTCATCGGCTCTTGAGGATCCTTCTACATCATCGCCGTCGATCACTTCCAGTAGTTCCTTTGCGAAAGCGGCGGCTGTTGCTGCGGAATAGTTCTGCCAGCGATCGTTCTTGTGGGTGTCTGCATAATCGCAGATTCCTCTGATCACAAGGCAGGGGAAATTATCCATCAGACCAGCTGCCTCCATCTCAAAGCAAATGCACTTGTCTCCAAGTCGTCGTACTATGTCGTCCCGAGAAACACCGTCCTTTATGACCGAGTTGCCGGAAGCAATGAGGCCATAGTGAACTACGGGATCGGTGGATCGTCGTTGTGGTCGGCCTATTTCCTTCCCAGCATCGCAATGCTCACAGGCTCTCGGCTGGCCAAGCTCTTGAAGGGTTGCATCTGATGGTGGGATTGTCCTCGTAATGTTGGAAGTGGCCGGCGTTTTCATAGCGGCGAAGATCAGCCAGAAGAATGACCAAACCCAGGCCAGCGCCAACTGAAAATAAAGCTTATTGACATCACGCGGAACTGCTCCCGCTGAAGATACTGCGCTTTGCAGGTCCGGGTTTTGAACATGCACTGAGGATGCTTCGAATAGCCGGTCGTTTTGCGCCCCTTGGTGAACAAACGCAGCGTCATCTGGATCTGCTTCTGCTAACCGCGGATGGCGTTGGAGCATATCGTCTAGGATGCCGCGTACTCGAGGTCCTCCGAGTCTTCGTTTGGCCTTCAGTGTTGCTAATCCTTTGAGAAGGACCTCAGGCGGAGGAGCAAGAGAACCGACACGTTTGAAATGGCCGTCGCTTTCTAACTTCCCTACATCGTACTGCACGACTCCCGGGCTTGCCCCAGTCGGCTGGCTGACGACAACGTCGCCGAGGCGGATATCGATGTTGTCGGCTAGCCTGGGAATGCCGGCGCCAATACCGACCATGAGGCCGAACCGAAGGTGTGGAAGAGAGCTGATCATGCTCCATGCGGTCGTGGCCGCGGACACGGTGCCGTACTTTCCAGCAGCTAGCGAGGCGATGACGATGTTGTGGTCCCCGATCCGGCCCCAGATATAGTTATTTGTATCTTTTGGGTGTTTTCTGAAGTTTTCCGGCTTTTGGTGCTGTTCGTCAAGCACAGCCTGCGCTGCGGTGAGCTCCTTGTCAAGAGCGGTGATCCACCCAATGGTGTACATCTGGGGGTTCAGAAGTCGCTTCAAAGATGCCATTATGCTTTCGTGGAGGGGAAGCACTTTGATGGTAGCTAAGGCTTGATGAATGGCGATACTGTTGTCAAAAGATGTTTTCAGGACGTCCTCTATGTGGGCACTAGGGCACAGCCTTACCCTTGATCTCAGAGCAGCAGGCTTTGGTAAGGCGTTTTATCGCCAATGCTGACGTGTGATAGCGGTTATGCGCGTCGCGGAGAACAGCAGCTAGTGGCGTCGCCAAGGCAGAGACCACACGCCGTTTGACACGCCCCCTCTTCAGGGAGGAAACAAGCCTGGCAGCCCTGCTCAAACTAGTTTACAGCTACCATTTTTCCATAACCAGATGTTTGAAGTATAAGTTGACGTTAAATAAGAGCTGCCGCCTGGTTGACATACGCCTCGAAGCCAACAGTGTGCACACAAGTGGGCATCTCTGGTAGCTTGATGAGCAATTGATCACGGTACGAGACAACTCAACCTGGGCCAAGCCCGACGATTATGGCTCAAGAGGCTTGAAGGGCGCATCAATCCCAACTGGGCCTGAATGCGATTGCTGAAAGTGGTGGCAGGAGGCGATTGGGTGCAGATGCAGGCTGCCCCTCCGCAGTAGTACGGGTCATTTCGCCTTGGAAAACCACTAAAGAGCTTCTTACTGGGGTCTTGGAGGGACCGCTGAGAAAAGCCTGCCAACCAGCAAAGAGTGACTGACAAGGATGCAAAGCAGCAAGGCAGATTTTCTCTTAGGGTGTCGGAGAAGCCCAGTGGGATTGGTGCCCTTTTTCGGTGAGCGAGTCTTCACCATCCAATAATTACTCAAGAGCCGGGGATAGGTGAATTTTGCCTGGAAGTCTCACCGGCATATGCATTGTTACCTCAATATACAGCATCTAATTACTTATCAGTCACTGTTCGGCTTAACTGGCTTGACTATAATGCATGTCTCGACAACAGCTTGCATTAGCGCTGTTTATGCGACGATGACTGGCTTCTGTGTAGAGTGACCTGTGGGCTGACAGCACCATAGCCGCCCTGTTTGGAGAGACTTGCCAGTGGGCGGTCTCCAGAAGACCCCCTCAACTCTTTTGTGGAGCGCCGCCGAGCGTTAGCAGTGGTTGCACACCCTTCCCCACCCACATCGAGGATCCGTTGTTAGCTGGTGTAGTCAAGGCTCTGCAGTGAACACGACGGCCGCCATCTCAGCAGGTGGACTACAGAGCCTGCAGCAGCAATTCATTCTCAAGTCATCTCGTACTGCAGCTCCCCAACCAGATGAGTTCCAAGCCTTCTCACAAGAAGCATCTCAGAGATTTACTCGCTCAGCAAACCGACAAGTCCTGTCATATGCTCAAGGATCACAAACTAGTCATCAAATCTATAAAGTTTTCCGAGGAGGTGACGAAGCTTTGTTCTGCATTCATAACGTTGTCGTCTACACGTGACTTTTAGAGGTAGGTCGCAGGTCAGGTTCTATCTATAGCAGGGAGGTATTCGCTATTATTAGAAAACCAAACTTCCATATCCCCTATCATTATCGCCGATGTTCACAGGAGACGCATAACCGAACGTTTTGATTGTGTTGCCATAGTTGCCAATTGCTGTACATATAACATCCGGCTTGATGGCGGAGTGCTCAAGAACAAAGGGTATTTTAAGATCGTCATGATCTCTGTCAACTGTAGCCAGTCATCAGAAGTCAAGATAGCTTGAGCTGGCATAGGATCTTTGGCACTCTGAGAGGAACAAAAGCCCTCTACTTCATCCTTAAGCCGAATAGCACGCTCAATCATGAGGTATGTAGAGTTCCACCTCGTGGCATTGTCTTGGATTAATTCAACTTCTTTAGATGTCTGCTGAGAGAGAAGAAAGCCATCAGAGTGATCAGAAGCTTCTGATATCTCACGAGATAGGATCTTGAACCTCTGTGTACGTTGCGGCGAAGCTCTAATGAAATTCACGATGTTGTGAAGCTTGCCAATAGGGCCAGCCTTACGCCAATGCTTGAGGTCAGCCTCATCTTGCTGTAGAAGAACATATGCATCTGACTGTCTCTCAAAGCTCTCAGAGTCCTTGCCAAACGAGAAGGCCTTCGACACAAGGTTGAGGATGTGTCCAAAGCAACGAATCCTTCTGGCCTGGATATCTTGCTTCTTCTTGACAGAGGGGTCAAGTCGAGGGATCAGACTTGCTATAAAAGTGTCATTTGAGCTTGCGTTATCAGAGATCAAAGTCTTCACTTGATTTGTGATGCCCCAGTCTCTGATGATCTCCTCAAGAGTGTTTGCAAGGTTGACACCATCATGAGCACCAATTTGCTTCTTCATAGCAATCAGACGTACTTTGGGGCCTTTCCCCTTGATGATGAAGTGTGCAGCAACACCCATAATGGCTTAGCGACTTGGAGAAGTCCATAGATCAAAGCCCAGATGTATCTCAGAGTCAGCATGCAGAAGTTCCTGCTGGATGACCATCTTCTGTTGCTTCCATATACCCTCAAAAGCAGTAACCATCGAAGTGCCAGACCATGGTAACGTTTGCAGCTTGGTACTGGCCCCAGAGATCATATACTGAAAGGCAAGGTTCTCATAGATGGTGAAGGGAAGGTTGGCATCTACAATCAAGCAAAGGGCAGCTTTCTGGATGCTCTTTGCATGGCTCTTCGTCAAACCAGGGAAGTCAAGGCGACGTCTCTTGTATAGAACATCGTCAGATTGCTCAGAACCTTCTGAGCCAACAGAACCTGCCTGTATCTCTCTGGGATGGTTCTTCTTGGGATGCTCAGAAGCAGAAGAAGTGGCTTTGATATCAAGAATGACATGCTTGGCCTTGAGACCACAGTAACGGCAAGCCCAGTAACTTGCCCCTGGTTGGCTATCTGGCTGGCAGAGAACAAAATACCATCCATGGCTTCCTATCCAGCTTGTTCTCTCTCTTGCACTCTTTCTCCAAAGATCCGACTCTTGCACATACACCTTATTATTTATCATGACCCTGAAGAGGTCTTCGAACGAAGGGCGGTCGGGTAGGGGGTGGTTTTGGCCTTGCTCAAGCTGTGATGTGATAGATCTATGCCGTGAGAGTTGACTGAAGGCATTCTGAGGAGGGGTAGGGGTTGAATGGAGGACTGCTGGTGTGGTAGACATCTGGCACAGGGTGAGCAAGGAAGAAGAGAAGGTAGAACTGATGATGCCCTCACATTCAAAGGACGCCAACGGATGACAGAGATCGAGGATAACAGCAGTGAAATAACGATTTTGATGCAAATCTCCGGAAGATCTTGAGGGCTGGCCTTCAACTTCCTCAAGGGACTTGGCTGTTACCCCTACAAAGCCTGGAGAAGATCGCAAACAATCACCAGAACCATTACATCAACCATTGTACTGGGGGGAAAAAAGAGAAGCTGAGTGGGCAAAAGGGGGCAATTTATACCCTGCCAAGGGGGGTCCCATCAGAAGTGGAGGGCAGTGGAGGGCAGATGAGGAAGGGCAGGGAAGGGCAGGGATATTCGGCAGTGGAATATTCATTTAATCCGTATCGTGATCCCTGTCAAAAGAGCCAAGGCAATCAATCAAGTTTGAGGGTGTTACGAGCGGGTCAGGGCAACTGTCAGGGCGACAGCGTGGCTACCAGCGAGTAACGGCATAACTGTCTTGATTGATTGGCTATGTTGTTGTAAAGGATCAGTGGCCAATTGGCCAGATACATCGAGATGTGCTACACTACATGAAACAGATGCAAATAAGCCATATTTGGGTTAGGAAACAATAGCCGATGCATAGTCGAGATGCTTGACTCGGTTATGCAATGTGGGCCTGACAGCAACCAACTGTGGCACAAAGCAAAAGCTTCGGTAATGACAAATCCGTTGTCATTGTCCCTTGTTCTGCACTATATAGTTACAAGCCTACAGGGCCCAACTATAGCGGTCGTAACACCGGATGACACAGAATAACGTGGGGAGTGTAGGGCCTGCCTGGAATCAATTCAATTGCAGATCATGGTTCATCTGATGCATACAGTAAAGGCATAGGTATGCTAGAAGTTTGTCGCATTAAGTTTATGCAATAGTAGCTGTCGCGCTAGGGACGGGCCGTAGCTTTCAGGGAGTGTTAGGTTAAAATGGACTCTGTATTGACGACTGTATTTGAGCTGTGGAAATTTGAACAGCGCGACACGACATCGTCAACTGTATGGTTTGTTGTGGCGGACGAAAGAGCAGTATTATTTCACTCCGAAGCTGACATTCCCCTGCACATCGCCTTGGTTTATAAGGGAATTATTACCGAACGAATTGTGCGAAATACTACGGTTCCCAGAGGCCGTCCGGGTCTGATCTATTCCCATGTGAGCAGTCAGCGGCTGTGTGAGATAAATGGAGACCTACGGGGGTCAGGTCCGGGACGAGCGTCGATATCGTTGAGGGTGTATCGTTCTAGCAGCGCCTTTGCCACAGATGCCGCTGTGGCCGCTGCGAAATCCTGCCACTTCTTGTTCTTATGACTGTCCGCGTAATCGCAGATTCCCTTGACGATGATGCTTGGGATTTCGTCCCATACTCCGGCGCCTTCCATCTCAAACGCGATGACCTCCTCCGCTTGTGCAATCTCATCGCGGTGTTTCCCTGATTTCTCTACACCATCCCCCGAAGCGATGCGCCCGATGAAAACCCCAGGACGCTGTGCGTCATGCTCAGTCATGTCTTGTCTGGCTTGCAGGCGCTTCCTGACGACCAACTTCCTCTCGTCGCATCCCAGCTCGGCACAAGAGGCCTTCGCCGCCTTGTCGCAATAGGTTGCTGATTCACTAGTACACAAGTCGCACAACCCTTGATGCTTGTGATCGTAGTCAGACGCGAAAAGTTTGTCTTCGGAGACGCCGGGATACTGGTAATTTGCACTCCCTCTCTCGCCCTTGGCGATGCGCTGGAGGGCCTTGAGGTGCTCGGCAGCCTTGTCTTCGAGCCTTCGTCTCCCTCTCGTCGTCTCAAGCGCTTTGATGAGACCGCGGATATCCTTGTTGGCCCTGCCGAGGTTGTCCTCAACTGTGTCTTTGCGGACGAATTTCTCCGCGTACTGCCTGCCAAAGTCGTATTGAACCACCGTCTCGCTGATCACTACATCTCCCAAAAGGGCCTCGTTCCCCGCGATTTTGGGCACCCCGCCGCAGATGCCTACAAGCAACGCAAGCTTGAGGTTATTATAGCTCAGCCGGAAGCTAGCCGCTGCCGCTGCCGCACCCGCTTTGCCCATGTTGGGAAGAACCACGAGAACAACATCATGAGCCCCGATGCGGCCGGTCGTGTAATGGTTCGTGTCTCCGGCAGCCCGACCGAGCTTATCGCCGTCTTCATCCCAAAATCGATCAAAGAGCAGGGCGACGGCATCGAATTCTCGCGGCAGAGCGCATATGATTGCAATCTTGAAGTCGGCACGACGAGAGGGCGGGTGGAACTCTGCCATGATTGTTGGTGCAGCGTGGTGAACTGTGTTTGAATGTTGCACGAGATGAATGGTGAAGTTTCTCTGTTATCGTGATCTGGCTGAGGTCTAGTGGGGTGAGGGGTTGGGCTCCGGATGACGCCGATCCCCCGGTAAAAGCCGCAGGGCTGGAGGAGGGGCTGTAACCGCCCAGCCTGATTCTGACCTTCTAGATACAATCATACCAACACATTCCAGGTTGAGATGATAGGCACCCTTCGACGAGCTCCATGGACCCCAGTACTCATCAACGCGATATCACGGGGAACAGGTTTGGTGACGGTGCATATGTCCACCAAGGAGACGTGCACGGCAGTGTCCACTACCACGCGCCGGACGTACCGGCCACGGCCAAGGTTGCTATCCGCGTGCTCCCATTTCCCCGCAACGAAGACGTCGTCATCCGCGAAGATATATTCTCCGAGATTGAGCGGCTTCTCCCGTTTGGTGGAAGAGGCCAGACCGCCGCCCTATGCGGCCTTGGTGGAACGGGGTGGGTGATCCTAGTCGCCTCTCTTTGTCTCTCCTCGGCTCCGCTGACCAGCCTAGGAAAACCCAGATCGCACTAGAGTATGCATACCGACGATGCGCCAACGACACGTGCTCCATCTTCTGGGTGCACGCCGATAACGAGACGACTTTCGTTCAGGACTACAAAGGGATTGCAGGGAGGTTGGGCGTGGCGGATAACTTGGATGGCGAAGCGCTATTAACAGCCGTGCGGTACCGTATCGAGACGGAAGCAGACTGGGTGCTCATCCTCGACAACGCCGATGACTTGGGACTATTCGGCGTTGGTCAGCCGCCAGCCGTTCAGCCGTCGACCGATCAGTCGTTCTACCTCGATCGGTTTATACCCAAGAGGCCATCCGGAACGGTCTTGTGGACAAGCCGTGATAAACAGATTGAGGGTAGCCTTGTTGGACCGGGGAGGGCTATCGACGTAGCTCGTATGACGGAAGATGAGGCGCAAACTTTGCTGGGGCGTGTCCGAAACAGTGCAGTTAATGAAAAAGAGGCGAACGACAGTAGGACACTTTTAGCAAAGCTTGACTGGCTACCACTTGCCATTTCTCAAGCCGCGGCCTACATGCGACGAACGGAGACATCGATTCCAGCGTACTTGTCGAAACTCAAGAAACGGAAGGTTCTCCAGAGATCAGAGGCTGATCCACATCGAAGGTCACATGTATCCAACAGCGTACTCCAGACGTGGAAAATCTCTATCGAGCACATCCGACGTGAGAACAAAATGGCATATAACATTCTACACATCCTAGCTTTCTTAGATGGGCAGAACATTCCTTGGGAGATCGTCAAGAAAGCGGGACAATTCGAAGGCGGGACTCAGCATGACGACAGTAGGAGGAGCGGTAACTCAACTGACGATGATACAAGCGAAGGCGATACGAGCGGAAGCGATAGCGAGGGCGATGAAGACGTCCTGCATGCGGTAACACGTCTCTGTGAGTTCTATATTTTTACTAGGGTGAAAACAGGTAAAGACAGTTGGGCGTACGCCATACACATGCTAGTACAGCAGGTGACCCAGGGCTCTATGAGTCAAAAAGAGAGCCGCTCAGAAGGAACGCGCTTCGCAGCGGCGGCCTTGCAAATTGTCACGGACATTTTCCCGCAAAGTAGGTCGCAAACATGGGAAAGATGCGAGAGATACTTAGCACACGCGGTGCATATAGGCGAGTGGGCAAGTTTAAGTAGGAGGAAAGGAGAAGCTGCCCAACTACTGTCCAAAGTATCACACTATCTCTATGACCGAGGGAGATGGAGAGAAAAGGAGCTAGTTGATGAGAAGGCACTTAAGCTAAGGCGGGATGTCCTTGGCGAGAAGCATCCCGATACAATCTGGAGCATGGCTTCACTCGCAGCGACATATCACAGCCAGGGACGGTACGACGAGGCGGAGAAGATCAAGGTCGAGGTACTAGAGCTACGGCGAGATGTTCTTGGCGAGAAGCATCCCGACACAATTGATAGCATGGCTTCACTCGCAACGACATATCACAGCCAGGGATGGTACGACGAGGCGGAGAAGATTAAGGTCGAGGTACTGGAGCTGCAGCGAGATGTTCTTGGCGAGAAGCATCCCGATACAATCTGGAGCATGGCTTCACTCGCAGCGACATATCACAACCAGGGACGGTACAACGAGGCGGAGAAGATCAAGGTCGAAGTACTGGAGCTACAGCGAGATGTCTCCTAAACGAGGATAACGCCCGTCCGTGGACGTACTCCGACCCAGGACAATACAGTCGATGGGTTGAGCTATAGAGGACAAAACGGAGAATTCCTTACCTGCCGATTCCAGTCTCGTCCAGAACTATCTGTTGGTATAGTCGCTGCAATCACCCACATCGAAGTGGCAGGATCCCATGGATGGGATCGGGCGTGGAGGATCACGTGTCTACGTTTGACTCGGCACATGACACCCCTCGCGCCTAGAACAAAACCAACAGCTCTGCCACTAACATTACGTCCACGATGAACTACTCAGTTATTCCATGCCGGAACGCGTCGAGATACGGCCATCCGTGTACGGCCATTGGCCCGACCCGTCCGGAGCCCCGCTTGCCCACCCCTGCCCGACTTGGAAATCTCGACGCGTTCCCTAGGGCCTCTGATTGGCCGGCAATAGCCTGAGTATGTCTCCACCTTCGATTGGAATCTCGACGCGTTCCGAGATGAAACCTCTTCTCCTGACTGACGGTTCGTGAACTGGAACGAAGAGTAGTAGGTCAACAGCTTCTGCTATAGAGAGTGAGAGAAAACGAAGAATAGTGAGCAAGAGAGAAAAAAGACTATATACATGGATTTCCTCGTTCTCGAACGCAAGTGGTGGGGCTGGAGTTTTGTCGCCCCGCGCTTGGTTCCTGACTTCTGAAGAACTGGGGACAGCAGGGCGAGGCGGAAAGAACACAGCCAGCCTCTCGTTCGACCTTGTGGCACAAGACCCCAGAGACCTGTTGGCGCCTCATACGATGACGAGCTCGACTTATGATGGAACTTTGGAGTCTTCTAGCGAATCTATAGTATCTTCGCTGCCAGCGTGGGGGCGGCCGGATAAAGGGTCGAATCACGCGGAGATGACCTCCCAGTGGCTCGAGACAACCGAGCATATTTCGCGCAGGCGGGTGCAGCGAGCTGACATACTCAGAACCAACTTTTGTGCGAAATAGGTAGTCGTTTTCTTATAAGCCGCAACAACAAGCGCGGCGGGATCTCATTCAGACTGCGTGGCCGAGTTCTTGCGATGATGACCCCTTGTTTATAGTTTCAGCCCCTATGTTTTGACAACTATCTGAGTCGTATTTAAAGATTCCGCGTTTGATTTGGATCACAGTTAGCCATGTGATCAAGATACGAAAGTTTGAATTCCGAGGCTCAAAGGAACGAGATGGTTGGACTCTTGGTCCGGCTTGCCTTGATGTGCCCGTGCATCGTGGCGCCGAATATGTATCTTGCGGTAGCCGTAGCTTCTCCCTCTTTTGCATAGGGATTTCCCGAATTCATCTTTTGGTTGAGTGTCTACTTCGAGAGAGGCTTGTTGCCCAAAATCTCATAGAAAACAATGGTCTGTCGTCAGTGTTCTTCACCTCGCCTCAGACTTTCACTGGATCTGTGGTAGGTGGAAGTAACCTACTCACTTGGCCGGCCAAAGGCTTCGTTTAATAATCAGTCCAGCCCAAGAAGAGCGGCCGACGAGCTGGAGCAAGTACAAATTAACAAGGTCCCGTGTCGTCAAAGGGGACACATGAGAACCTAGTAACTTGCTTTCATGAGACGCTACGGTGACCGTCGGGCCAAGGAGATGAGCGGGGCGAGCTATGCACCTCTGCAGGAATGGAGAATGATGCGTTCGTTTGCTTACCAGTAGATCCTCTGCTCTTGCCTATTCAGACTCGGACAACGAGATGTGTGTCTGATGCACAGGCTTCGTCTGGCGAGTCATCAAGCTAGCCGACGCTGTGCAATAATCCCTGCTCTGAAAATGAAGAGGTTGGCTGCACGTCTGTTTCTGGTCCAGCATGCACCAAGAAATGTCCAGGCAGGACCGGGCGGAGTACACCTCAGTATGTGTCCGGGCTGTATGCCCGGACGGATTGGAGCGTTTCCATCGTGTTGAAGCGCCCGTAGCGACTGAAACGGTGGCGCTACCACAGTCGGAGGCAGAAGTGGATTCGGGGTCGGTAGTCTCCGTATTGACAGCGAGGTCGGCCACCTCCATTGGCGCAGGTTTAGGTACCATAAGGCTGAAGGGTCGCGGTCTCGCCCTTCATTTTCCTCCTTACGCCCAGCTTCATTGCAATGCCAAATTGTGATGCCCCTGCCAATGTCGGCCCCAACTTGATCTATCTGGACCCACGGGTGTCTCATCCGACTGCATTGCCCAAGGCGATGCGAAGCTGGATGCTGCTTATTAGTCTGACACCCACCCTCCCAAAATTCGAAGGAGCTGTTAGTGCTGGCGGGGCGTTCTAAACGGGGCTCGGTACAGATCGCCTGCTAGTTTCCTGCGCGGGTATCTTCCTCGTGCCAGGGCGCGTAGAGGCCACCCCGGCCACCCCTGCACATAAGCAAGGCGCCAGGCAGACAAGACGCAAGTTTACGTCGCTTCCTAGCTTCTCAATGAGGCACACAAAGATGTGTACCGCCGCCCGTGCCGTGATTTCTCCATCGTCACCGTAGGCCTATCTGCAACCCGAGCAAAGCGGCGTGTATGTATCTGCTATACCGCCGTGATGGTGTCCCTCACAATCATGATCTGGCCGTCGTGGACCATGTGGTTAGCTGCAACTGTCCTATTGCTCTTCACAGCGCACCGATCCTTCGCCCCGTTCGCTGCCAGGCTCAAGTCAGGCCAGCGAAATTCTCGCCCCGACGGCCTCAATATCATCCACGATCCATCGAAGAGCCAAACTGCAGTCAATCCTCAATTCGAGTGAGAAGTCTCCGCTCGCAGACACATTTCTTCACGACTGATCTTTTCTGAAAGTGCACGGCGTTGAGTTCAGTCCAATGACACGGTCAACAGCAACGCTGGGGTGATCAACCAAAATATCGATTATGACGCGGTGTGAATTCAATAACTAGAGCGTCTGCGATGAGTACATCCAAATGCTTGATGCACATCTCCACATAGCAAGAATATGCTAGTAATAGCCGTCGAGAGTGTAACCGTTGCCATGGAGTTTACACCGAACTAGTTTCATCTCGATCTCAACCACCTTACGATGGATCGGACCATGTAGGCACCCTGTCCCAACATGCCTATTGCGTCTCTTCGGCAAGTAACCAAGCGAGCGACCGTTTTTCATCAAAACAATATTCGGCGGACAGCAAGCATAGCTGGATGGTAAACTTGGCGCAGGGTTGGATTGCGGTAGGGAATAGTTATGCAGAAGGATGTCTTCCAATGCTGGCAGCTTGCCGCCGAAGGCATTGAAATCGAGGCGTAGCGACCAGACAGCGACGTGCCTGATACACGACGTTAGCGGAAGTTTGTAGAGCAATTGCAAATGTTGGTGCCATTGCCGGCTTCGGTCACACCATATGCAGTCGGCGGGAGCGAAGTCGTCAATCCAAAGAATGTCCGTCTCTGGGTTACAATACAGTGACTTCGTTTTGTCGAGAGTAGAACGTTGGAAGAGTTGCAGCTGGTTTCGCGTAACATTGCGAGACTCCTGGCAGACGTTGGGCAGTGGTAACATTGACGATGAGATAAAAAGGCCTGGTTGTAATGATATATGCTTGACTTGAAGAATTTGCCTCTTAGGCAGAGCTTCTTTCCAAATCATAACACGAATTTCAGTAGGTAGTCTTCGGAAGGGAAAAAAGATATCACGGCGTTGAGCCTGGCTGCGAGTTACGACAACCATAGTAAAGGATAGTTGGGAATGGAGCAGAAAGGATATGAACAGGACAGAGGTACGAAATGAGCACTGGGAGCAGCGGAGTATAAATAGTTGATTTTAGTGGTCGACAGACACGGACTTGCCATTGGTCAGCCATTCGATGGCTGCCACACACCACGCCTCATTGTGCCTTTCCAGAGAGACTGCCGCGTGAAGATCGCTCCGAGCTCGTTCCTGCCGGCTTGGATAACTAGTGGTCGCAAGGCAAAATTTCTGCGCGAGGATTCATGGGAATCTGGATGAGAAAAGCATCCATGAGTTCTTTTCGCGGGTCGCCGAGAAACAATCTATTTTGCATGAATGGAATCGATGCATGTAAGTTGAGAAAAGGCATGGAACTAAGTGTCTTCACAGTCGCTCACGTTAGACCTTGTTCATTTGATAATAGTACTTTGTAGTACAGCAGCTCATGCCCAGGGTGGTCGGGAGGCGTGCCGTATCATACGGGCCAGCACATTCATCTCATGGAGAGGTGTCATGGCAAGTTCCTCAAGGTACAAGCGACGTATCGAAATTTCCATCTACGTCGGAACCGCGTCCTACCAGGGTTATCACACTCCGCCCTCGAACATCAGGGGTCATTGGACAATCGGCCAGCCCGCGGAATTTGACTTGCGTTCTGCACCAGGATTGAGCATGCAGTCACCTGCAAGCGTGCGCAAGGGTTTTTACAAAGACTGGCCGGACAACTTGAATGCTTGTGTCAGTCGATTGGATCTGCTGTAGCCGATTGGAAGTTGTTGTTTCGTGAGCTGCAGGATGACTGTGATCATTGCTTGAGTGCCAGCCACCAGTAGAATGCTGGCTTTATTTATTGGCTGTAGCCGACGCGACAAGGGGCCCTTCTCAACATCAATAGCCTCAGGCGACCACAGGAAGGCAACGCCACCTCTCGCCCTTTGCTTCCTCCTAAAGGAATTAGTCCCTATTCAGTCTTGGAAACGCAAACGCAGCAAACACGTCACTCGTCAGTCTTCGCCGTTCTGCTGCATGCTTCACCCGATTGAGAGCAAGCACCCTGGGACCTGCCTTGTACACTGACTGCAACGCTGCGCAACCGTTTGGTCCTCGACCACCCCGGCCGAATTGTATTCGTCTTACTCAACGATTGCACGCCAGTCTGCTCCCTTCCGCAACAGATCCCCTGAAGGACGCCAGGTCTACAAAAGGAGATCTATCGCGGCGGGGCTCATATCGTGGACAGAAATCAGGCGAGTGGAAGAACAAATGGCTCCTGATTTTAGGAGAAGCGAAATTGCAAGCGATCTACAAAGCTTGGTCTTTGCTGAGTTTACTAGATATCTCATGAGAACTAAGATCAACACTCAAGTCAAAGACGACTAGCGGTCGGTTTGGTGGATGCTGAGGATATGCACTTGAAATGATTGAAGTGCTCTGTAGCATAGCAGACGACTGCTGAACAGATTTGATACTGTGTATTGCCGCTAAAAGAGAAGTAGATGCCCAACATATTCCTAAACTAATCTCCCGTCGACCTGTCTCAATCTTCCATAAGAATCATTGCCACTGAGTTTGGGCCTGAGCCGGCATCCTCCTCAAACTGGAACTGAACGGTGAACAGACATCTTTGCCCATGTTTTTTACAGTTGTCACACTGGTGCCTTCCAATGTTTTGGCAGCGATCCTTGACCAGAAGAGTTAGTGAAATCTCTCTGATAGTACTGAAGATAGTTCTGACCTCTTCAGTTTTGCAAAAGTCGCATGCTGTGATATGCGAATATAACGCTGAAGTTACTTCAGAAGAAGTCGGCATAAACTTCTGTTTAGCGACATTTCGTTTCGATTTCCTGGTATAGGGCTTTCGAGGCTTAATCGAGCAGAACTTTCCCAATATACTACAGCTTTCACAAGCATCTAAGCCCTCAACGCGAGAACATCTTATCTAAACGTAGGGTATCAGTAACTTGGGGATAGAACAGAAGTTTCAGCCTCACCTTGGCTTTTCCGCATTCGAGACACGCCTTTCGACTTTTTCTACGTTGGGTATTGGCTTCAGATTGAGGCTGAAACGAACAAAACCTTCCATGCATGCTACAGCGTCTGCAAACACCTGAGCGTGAGCTTTCGACACCATAGCATCTTTGCTAGACGTAGGCGATTAGTATTTTCGGGATATAACAGAGGTCTTGGTCTCACTTTTGCTTTTCTGCATGCGAGACATGCCTCGCGAGCCCTATGTTGGGTTATAGGGGGTGCTGTATGATCTTCGAGGGGCTCCACTTCGGCTTGAGATGCGACCTTATCAGGGTGCATCACATATTCTATAGGGCCGTGACTCCTAGTTGGCTGGTGCAAAAGTGATGCTGAAGAAGGCAGAGAGAACGGAACATCGTCAACAGGATTGCTCTCGGCCTGAAGAAGCTGTATCACTGTAAGCTTTGGTGTGGGCGGCTAACGTTTGTGAAATTACTTCTTCAAATTTTGTCTGAGGTTGCCACTGCGGTTGCCTCATAACGTCAGATTGTGCGGCTGTCCATGAAGGTTGGCATTCAACAAGGCTTGGGCTGAAGTCTTCTTCAGGATCAAATACATATCCACTGTTGGTGGACGCCATATTCTCTGTGCGTAACGATAAGAGGATCTTTGACTAGAGTAGAATGAATCTAAGGTAATGAAAATGGATGAGACGCATGTGTGGTTAGGTCCCGATGAGCTTAAATGAGACACGAGAAAAAAGGCTTCTTAGCTAACCAGCCTCTGGAATTTCCCACTGCCTTGCGTGTTTGAGTGTTCACGGCTGTGACTTCAGCGTTACTCACGAATGCTGACCTCATCCATGTCTGTGTCATTCTGCAGTATCCCCAGCCACCGATAAAGGCGTGATGGATGGATTAATCTGTCCTGTTCCGTATCCTGCACCATATTGAGGCCAACGCATGGTGGTGTAAGGTTGGAATCATAACGATTGGCCCTAAGACCTCAATCTAACAACCTAGGCAGACTTCTGAAACCGCGAAATGCATAAGGCCCTTTTAAGCGAGGCTGTCGGGACCGGTCTTGAGAAACCAACCAAGATCATGCATGGCCCAGCATTCCTTCCGCATGCCATCTACGGTAACCTCCAACCCATCGTCATGCCGGTAAGAGATACGCCTCCTGCCCGCCCCGCATTGGAAAGTCTTGAACAGGCGGAAGTGACTTTCCGACACAGTCGTCGACCCCATTCAGATGATATGCATGCAGACCACAGCCATCGGTCGCTCCGTCAAGGGGGCCCTGCTTCCATCAAGGCTCTGGGCATTGATCTCACTTACCATTCCTTGCATGCTCGGGCGCAAAGCACGCCAATCAAGGGGGCCTCTACGTAGTAGACACCAGACAAACGTTGCATTCAAATACCGCCATAATGGAACATCGTAAGTACTCAGATGAGCTCCTTTCTCATCGTGCACGCCCTTTCGTCTGCAACCATGCTGCATTCACAAGGGTTCCCTATGAGCCTGACAAGGGGCGTTGACCAGACATCGACAATCCAACGGCTCTCTCGTCATCTAAGACACTTCTCTGGGACCTTCCACCTCGACTCGTCTTTGGACACATCATAGAAGCGGACTGGACTGGGCCTTTCGGTTTCTTTCTAGGATGGCGGTGTTCCTACAAGCCGTTGGATTCCTGTGATGCATTATGGCTGCCCGAACCGGCGACGGGCCTGTGGAGGCACCGATTTAAATAGCTTGAGGGAGATAGCTTACATAGTGGTCGTGGAAGCCAGATATTGCATGCATGGGTTGGAAGTTCAGGATGTTCCACCAGTGGAACCGAGCAAAGACATTGGTGCGATGAGCTTGGGCTCTAGATTTTGACTTGGCTTCTCACCTCCATTCTCTGTGGTCGCTTCCCACGTAAATGGTTGAATGCACTATCTAGATCCTAGTAATCGCACAAATGGTGTTGGCCTTTTCTTCTCTCCAAATACATCCAACGATGAACTTCTGCTATCTCTGTTCGCCCGGTAATCCGCGGTACATTAGTATTGCAGTATATGCTTAAGTTGACTTTTCCGAGCAAGATCTCGTCCTCATGCTCAGCCCACTCTGCTCCACGGCCTCCGCCTTCGCCTTCGCACGACAGACCATCCTCTGAGCATGCAGAACAAGGAAAGTTACCATCACATTCAGGTATTCCATAGAACATGCAGGTGTCACAAATCTATTGGAACGCATAAGCTACCGACCAATGACAGACGTGGAGTACTTACGAGCAGCGACTTTTCATTCCCTTTGGCGTCGGCTGCAGATGAGACACAGGGAAGTTCGATGAGAACTTTTTCGACGTGTCTTTTCCATTCTTTGTTTATTGCTGGCTTGTCCGTGTTTAGTTCGAACCATCGATAGATTTCCGATCTCCTGAGTACGTGCCCAAGGGTCTTGAACACAGTGCGGACTAATCTCGAATAGGGTGTCTTATCGAGAGCCTTTGGGTTGACTGAAGCTTTTGTCAATAAGTTCGTAGTTCTGTGAGAAGTTAGTACTCACCACGACGTGCGCCGCCTTTGTGATACTTGAGCGGGAGCCCACCGGCTGGAACTCGCCCACGGGCTGGACTTCGCATATTGGCGTTGAATACACCAGAGTATTGGAGTTGGGAGAAATTACGGCGGCAAGTGAAAGATCTGTGGCGTCTTTATCTGGGTTTCATATGGATCACCTCACGAGGCATCACGGTCACTTCGAATACAATAGCCTACAACAGCACAACCCACATGGGAATCGTCTGACACACTCCTCCCGTGGAAGCGTGTGAGCTCTTAGGACCAACGGGCTTGGTTGGTGAAGCCAGCTCTAAGTTGTAACCGGCCCCATCGTTCCTCTGACGGTCGCGGCATGTAACATCTTTCCTCTGAGTTTGTTGATGGCAGGCACCAACCAGCAAAGCGGGTAACAATCCTGGTTGTCTTGTGCATTCTCGTTATGCGTCGACCTGAATGGAGCCAAGATGACTCTGAGTGTCTCCCAACCACCCCAACCAAGCGCAGGCCTCTGGCCGCCAAGTTTCATATATGACGAATAATCATCCTGGCACACGACTTGACAACAAGTTGTGGCCAGGGTAGATGTTCTCCGCTAGTCGCAGGGACCCTCACCGGCCAATCTATCTCGGGGCTCGTTTGGTGCTGGTTCGTTGAGGCAAACTGCACCAGTCCATGATTGCGAGCCTGGGGTATGCCGCACAAACGACCTCGTTAGCGTCAAAGAGGGTTCTCTCGGCAGGTACGTAGGAGTACGGGGCAAAGCAGCAACATGCTGAGTGGCAGTTGTATCCCCCTCGTACTAGGGTGAAAACACAGTAGCTATAGATACCAGATACCGTTGGGCGTCACAATCATTCACTTGGAGGCGTGTAGGTGCATGCATAGCTGATCATTGGGAAGCCACCCCTCGACATCAGTCTGCAGCTGCATCCAATCCGACAACTGGTCAGGGTTCCTCTTCGCATTTTGGAGGTCTCTCCCAAGTCGTACGAGGTATGCATCAGGGGGCTTGACTCATTTCCGAGGGGATCTTCTGCCCCTCGAGAGCCAGTGGCTTCATGTGCCGACAACATGGCTGTAGGCGCTGATGAGGCACGGCAGTAGTCGAAAGAAGTCTTTCCACGGCCTCTTCCTGAGGCCGTTGCCAGCCATTGTGCTCCAAAACCCAGCATGGTTCTTCTTATCCGCGCACCCCCCTTGGACAACAGCTCATCGAATCAATAAACCCTGCGACGGAGGGCCGCACATAACCTGACGTTACGCGTGGGCGGCTCGTCGTGGGTTTAGACATGCAGATCCGGCGCGATCTCGAGGAGTGGGGCGTTTATCCTAGCGCGCAGCAGTTCGAACCCTGACTCGTCTCCACCGGTGCCCCCGCGAGCCGTCGTGTACCCCAAGGTACTCCACGTTGCCCGTTGCCTTCGCATCTCTGTCGGGACGCAGCAGCTAGGCCGTCCGATTTCTGTCGCGACCCACATCCCCTCGTTGCAGCGGGGATATCCAAGCCACAGGCCCAGTCGTCCCACACCACCATCTCCAAGCGGCCGTGACCGTGGCCACGTTCGGCCACCCACACAGCCTGCTCGTGCATCAGGCGAATACCTGCAATGGTTGGCCTCGCTCTCGTCGAACACGCCCCCCCTCGCCGTTATGGTTGGATATGGTTCCATAGCTCCACATTTAAGCTAACAGGGGTTTGTCATCCCGCGTCCTCGTAGGGACGTCGTGTCTCGAAAGCCATACTCGTTTCCATCACCACATGGGAACGCACGAGGTGAACCGCAGAAGATTCGAAACCTACGGCCAATGATTGGGTCATGTGGCGGCGACCGGCTTGTGGAGGCCTGAAGACTCAGGGTTGTGTATGCCAGCCGTGGCCAGCCAGCACATGGGGCTTGGAGCCTGGTAGCCGACCATCACTGAACGAGCCGTGGCTGAAGGCCGTTGCCCTGGACAGAGAATCTGGGCACTTTCTCATGACTGCGAAACAATTGTATTATGCCAAATTAGACGCCTAAACTCCGCTGGCCCATGGCCTTCTCTGGCAATCGACCTCTTCAAAGTGCGGCCACAAGATCCCTCTAACGACAAGCTGACAAAGCACTTAAGCAGGCGCATCCGGAATATCCACACCATCGTCGTCCCCGCTCCCCCGTCTCTCCAGCTGACTTGCGGCAAACTCTGTCCCTTAGACCGTCGTCAAGCCGTCAATGTCGACATCATACTGCGCCGCGACACTGAACTGCTTCGTATGCTTGTCGTACGTCAGCCACCTGCCTGAGGCTGATGTTGCTATGCGATGTCCTAACCATAGACATCGGTCCTGTCTCTCTTCCATCATGGATGCCACTTCGAAACACTTCTCGTCGTAATCGATCGCGGCAGTGAACCAGTCGTCGGGGTAGTAGTTCTCTGCCCAAATGAGACCGCGCTGGGCGAAGTCGTCCGGCAATGGTCGTGGGCTTTTCCTCGGGGGAAACTTCGTATCTTTAATGCTATCAAAGTCTGAACAGGTACCGACCAGCGCGTTGAGCATAGACGAGATAAGTTTCCAGGGGATCTTGGCTTCGATATAAGTAATGGCGGCGACTTTTGAAAAGTAGTAGAGGAAAGAGAGGGTAACGTGGAGATAAGGGGTAACGCTTTGGTCGCCGAAGCGTCGAAAGACAACGTCGTGTGTGCGGCAGGTGAAGTCCAGGGCATCAAGAAACTGTTGGGATGGGGCGGCAGCGTGACCTCCCTGTGTACCCCCTGGCTTGATCGATCGCATAAGGACGTTAGATTCGCTGCCGTATTCGAGAAGGGAGCAGCCAAGTGTGATGCTAACATGGCACCCACTCTCCATCCATCGTCGCGTCGTCCGTCCGATATAGTTATCAAGATTGGCGATGAACCTGTCCACAGGGGGTGCGAGTTCTTGGCTACGCCCAGAGAAGAGGATACCATGGGCTTGGATAAAAGCATCATCAGTATCTTGGAGCTGGGTGGCAAAAAGAGTCATAATGCTCTCGCGGGCTGGTTGAAAGCGAATAGGGACACAGAGGCTCTTTGAGTAATAGAAGAGCTGATGGAGCCTATGTGGCCGCGCAAGAATAGCAAGATGGTGGTATAGTCGTCCTGCTGTAGGTGCCTTATCACTTGCTTTTGAATACCAATACATGCTGTTGGATGTCCAAACTTCACAGTCCTTCCAGTCGTCGCCTTCAATGGCCATACTAAACAGGTTAGTTTTTACTCAAATATCATAAACACTAACGTACCGATATCTCCCAAGATCACCCAAGTACTCAACCCAAGTATCCTCAAATATCGGCACCGTCTCATAAAGCAACGCTATTATCGAGTAAGCCAGGTAGATGAAGTGAAGCATATGGTCCATAGACGAAGGTAGGCGGTGCCGCAGAAGCTCTAGAAACGAGTGAATGCCGTGCTGCCACATGCGCGCCGGCATGGCGTACTTGCTCGCCAACTGCTTCAGCGCGGGGCTCGCGGACGGGTGCTGCGATGCCAGGAAGAAGTCGTGGTGCTCATGAAGTAGCGTTCGGTGGAGCGCGACCAAAGCTTGCCACTGCTCGTTATTTAGCTTCGGCCGCGGCTCCTTAGTACCCTGCGCATTGACGACCTCGATGCACTTGCTCTCGACCATCAAAAGGCCAGCGTATATGCCTTTGACCTCGGCGACGAGCTGTTCCTGGGATATTGGGCGTGTTTCCGGCTGCTTTATTAAGACCCCTGTCTGGTCGACTTCAGGGCTGCGAGGTTCGAACGAGCGAGGGGCCGGCCCAGATGGTTTGCCGGTGTTCTCTGAAGCGTTGCGTTCGGGCGACCAAGGGTCTGCAGGATTGTGTGCGTTGTTGGGGACTTCGCCGGCATTGCCGGCTCGTGGCGGCGCAAGAGCCCGGCTTCGCTTGGGGGGCAGAGACGAATCCTCGATTTTCCTTTTCAAGCCTCTTTTTGGAACACAGTCAACCGAGTGCGGCTGGCTGTTGAACAGTCTTTGACTAGGCGTCTTTCTAGTCATGGCGGGTCTCTTTGCTCCCTAAGTGGGGGCGATGCTTGGAGTGTCGAATCAAGTGATTTTCGTGTATTTGGTCGACTGTGAGTTCTCTGCGGAGATGCAGAAGACTCAATGTTGTTTGTGTGGGAAAAGGTGCAGAAAGCTAGCAGAACAGACAAACGCTTGAAACGCAAGAGTCGTCACGTCGGCGACCGTACTACAGAACAAACAGGCTCGCCGAGGAAGTCCAGCTCTTTAAGTTCTCTGTCGACCAGCAACAGGCCAAGGCGAGATGGCGAAGCATTTTAGCGGCTGCCTTGGGAGATGCAGAGTACCTCTGAAGATGGTTCGCGCACTAGACTTATCACAATAGATGACAACCCCTCCGTGACTCTGCGGCACGTGGCCCAGCTGGTCCCTTGAACCTGGCTGTTGTGCGCGGACGCGGGGCGAGTGTCGTCCGATTAGCCGGCACTCTGCTGACGTAGTCTAGGATGCATACAAAACGATCCCAAGCATCTGTTCACGTATGCCCCTGCCCTTTCGGCGATCGGCCGAATCAACGCCAGAGGGGCGGGCAGGCGCGGGTGGGAAGAAGGTGTCAGGAAGGGACGAGCGCGGCGCGCAAGGAGGAAGCCCATTGACGGCGGCGGTCCCGGAAGCCCGGCCTTCGCTTTGGTAGTCTCGGCGTCCACAGTGTCTGGTATTTGACTGCCTACCTAGACTCTAACCCCCTTGCCTCAGGTTCGTTGTAGCGCTTGCAGTAGATAGAATAATCCAACCACAACATTACGCATCTAAGCAAAACTCTCTATCAATTTAGAATACCATCCCACCTTGCCATTTTCATACAATCTCATCCCCGTCATCAACTGCTGTGTTTTCTGATTACCCAAGGCTTCAGACAGGAAACGGCCTCCAGTTCCCAGCTCAGTTTCTGCTTGTTTCACAGCCTCAATGTAAGCCTTCTGATCCGCAAGCTTCTGTTTGAGATCGGGAGAAATAGGATTGCCTAGTTCGTAATTCCACGGCGCGTCCATTGCTGGTGGAACTATTGAAAGGGTTAAAGGATAATCTGCGAAGACTTCCCACGGCCCAGCGAATGCAGTCTCCCAATCAATCACGCTGAGAATGCGATATTCATCATCAAAGATGATGTTGTTGTGGCCAAAGTCACCATGACAGAGAGGGAAAGGGCCGCAATCGCGGGTTGAAAGCCTCTCAGCAAGGTTGCTGACAGATTTGGGAAAGGAGCCGACTGAGGGAATGATTTCGTGAGCATACTCGCCACATGCAACTTGGAGCTGGTCAGCCGGCATGCCAAAGCTGCATTTAGCTGCCCATGCCTTGAAGAACTCAGTCGCTGTACCGAACGGTCCACCAATGCCCCGAATAGGACCTTGCTCGTATGTGCCGTCATCATTTCGCGAGATGATCGTGCCAATCATGGGTAGTTGCACCGTGGATAGTTGAACCTGTGTTCAGTTAGCTGACTGGCATCTGAAAAAGTCAATCACCAACTTACGTGTATCTGTGCAGTGCGACGAAGAAACATGGGCATGTACTCTGGTGGTATTGTCATGCCCAAGTCCATTCCCACATTTCCTGGTAGGCATTCCATCAACATGAATGATGCGCCCACATCAGTGTTCCCTCTCGCCTCGAAGGCGTAGGCTTTGGGAATTGGTATGTTGGTCTGTTGTCGCACCAAAGACATGGCGTTGTACTCGCAACTCTCCGCTAAACCTGTTGAGTCCTCCGAAGATCCTGCTGGGTCTGGGGAACCTAGAGGAGGTAGTCGCAAACGTGCCGCCCATCGTACGCGGTCAACAAACTCGATGATGCGGACCATGTGGTTGTGGCCAAGGCCAACGTGAGGAAGTAGGTGGCAGCTCTTGAAATCCCGCCTCAAACTTGCGTACTGCAGCAGTGACTCCCAACGTACAAACGCCAAAAAGTCCGCTGCTCGCGAGCGGATCGGGCCCTCGGGCAAAGACTCATAGTACGTCCACCGGTACCCTGAAAAGGCTCGAGAACCACCAACCGAGTTCTTGTCGATGATATCGCTTTCCATAATATGGTGACAGTGCGGCAGGAGTGTCGAGATCTTGAATCGGTCGAGCTGTGTGGGAAATGGCTCGAGCAATAAAACTGGGCCAATCGCTGCTTATCAATAGGCAATGGGTATTCCCAGACCCGATGTGTCGGCGCTTATCGGCGCACATCGCCGCGATTTGTCAACGCCGTTTTCGTCCTTGCTTGGCCTAGGTATCTAAACATGGCTTCCACTCAGTGGGGCCAGCGCTCACTAACAGATCCAGACCGCATCACAAATATTCCCCGCTCATCCACGTTAGTGCAGGTACCTTGACCGAATGAGAGACCCCCAAGAATCACACTAGCCCAAAATTGTGGAAGGAATGGACACCATCACTGGCGGCTTGAAGGGTGTGGGCGTAGCAAAATCCAGCGCTGCGTAGCACCACCAGAGGGGCCCGAGTATCAATGAAGCATCATTGCACCTAGCCTACTATTGTGTCTGGATAAGAGCGGCGATGTTGGAATACGCCCATTCAGCTACATTCTACTAATTGCGCATCTGTCCATTCGGTGGTAACAAAAGCTAGTACCCAACCCAGGTTCATGATTGACAAAATGGATTGCCCCTGTGATTCGCAAGAAATCAGGCATCTCGCGAACGGACCCCACAATGTAATGCCCTTCTCTTCGAATCAATTCTGCTGGCCACACGTACACTTCTCTCCGCGCTTCACCGAGTTGCTGCAGCCGAGCCTACAGCAGGTAGTGTAGAGGCTGTTGGAGGAGGCGTTGACCATCTCCGACTTCCCGGATGAGCCCATTCTGACAATAGCTTGAGTGATCGAAGAAGGTAGAACTACTTATTGTCAATTATCGTACCCAGCAATAGAAGCAAAATCTGTTTCTCACCTGAGGGTAGACTGGTTGTCGACTGGTACTTGTTGGGAGTGTTCAGCTTGGAACTGTTGTAAAAGAAATGAAATTGAAACAGGAGACAATAGGACTTGCGAGCGCGTTTTATATGAACAGTTTGAAGACACTAGGTACTTGGATGATAAGGATTGAACCTCAAAGGTGTAGCGGGGCCAGGCCATAAGCAGAGAACTTGCCTCTCGACGTCTACGCTCATGGAGATTTGCATGCTAGCGAGGAATGTTCACTGCCTCCATTGTCTGTGAATAGTGAAGGACTTTTGTGCGGTCTTACTGGCTCTTTCAGAGCAGTTTCCTGCACACAGTACATACCATACTGAACGTCGTCGAAGTACCTCATGCAAGTCGGTTAGAAATAGGCAGGTAGCCATAGAAAGGACGAAAGGAAAGAAAGAGGAGGTCCACATATGATGGAGTGAGCTCACACCACCAGCTTCTTAGCGCATTCGCATGTGGTGTCAAAATAACAGAGATATGATATTTCGCTGTGGCAAGGCGGACGGCTTTTCGGGTAATTTGAACTCACCCTCTAAAGATGGTTTACTTACCCAGTCTAAAGTCCATGAAAACGTTGGCATGCAGGACTTGTATCTTCCCGTAGCCTTGACTCTTGCTGCAGGGTGACTGACATGAGTGATGACTGCAGGAAGTTGTGTGTGACAGCCCCATGTGATGAACCGCCGCCCGTATTTGCTGCATCGTACTCCCTGCAAGGAATTGCCTGGCCAGCCCGTACTGCTCCGTTTGCCAGTCGCCATCCACCACTAGCTTGAGGAGCCCAGCTTTCGCAAACAGGCCTCCCCTACCGATGTGATAGTGAGCTCAGTCTTTTGACTATCTTTGGAGTAGAAATTCCAAGAAAAAGGGAGAAATGAGGGGAAGAGGGAAGTTGCGCACCCTCCTACATTGTTCGACTCGGTTGGCTCAAACGTCATCCACCCGCCCATGTCGCACTTACTAACCATGCATGAGTTGTAGCTCGTCATGAAGGCGTGTAAACGACTGCCCACAACAACACGTTGGAAGCAGACTCTGGGGAGTAAACATCAGTAACACATTGAGGAGGAGTCAAGATCCACGAGTTCATTTGCTACGGAATTGTCTCCTGGGCCCTAGAAAGAGACGCGTTCGCGACAAAGTCTATCAATGCGCACTTTGAGGCAATGTATCTCACCGACGATGCTGGGCAGCATGGCACAACGGCGCAGGTGATCCATGGTGACTTACGATTCATCAGAAACCCTGTAGACTCTTGAGGCATAATTCATGCTCCTTGTACGCTTGCCTTCCTCAGATGATTAGGCAGGATGGCATGCCAGCCCGGAATCACCAAGTTTGTAACGATCACAGGCAGCCTTTACCCCCAAGTACGTTAACAACAACGGCAGTCAACCAGGTGCGCCTCCAGGCGGCAAACTGCGAAGAAGAAAACTTAATTAGAAGGGAAGAAAGACGTTAACAACAACACCACTTAAAGAATATCCGGCGCAGTCTAGCGAAAATGAGCGTCGTCCGGGTTTGTGGCCCAACCTTGATGGGCACATAGAATAATTCAAGCACCTGTCGATGGAGCGGGACGAAGAATCCTGTACAACACGGCCAAAATGACAACAGCGCAAAGGTACGGCTGGCTTCTCTGACCCGCGAGGGTTCGAGCGTCTCCATATACCTATTAGTCTCAATCGCCGAACAGCTGACCCCCTGCATTGATCTGATGCCATTCCTTGTCTTCCATTGCATTCAGTTAGGTTTTCCGGATTATCTAGTAACGACATAGTCTTCGGCGTGTGGCCGGCTCTGTCTCAGCTCAGGACGAGGGCTTCAGCAATCAAATCAGACAAAACATATTTAGATTCTTTCACACCGTAGAGTATTCATTAGCCCTTCATTTCCTTCACAACTTTCGTGATTGAAGCATATACTTCATCGACAGATCCCGTCGCATCAACCTGAACACAGTCAGACGTAGTTTACTTGGCACATAGAGCTCCGTACCTTCCACAGTGGCTTCTGAGACAAGTAGTCCAGTACAGCTTGATTGCTGCTTTGAAAAGTATCCATCCTTTTGCGCAAGACATCTGCATTATCATCGTCGCGCTGAGAGACTGAAGAGCGCTCCAAAACACGTCCAATCATCGACTCTGTTGATGCTTCGAGATAGATTGTTGAATAATTGTCGGACACCTTCCATCGTGAGAGCGTGCAAAGACCGCAAGACTGGCAACGTACCTCCTGCTCAAACGCAACGGCTTGGCTCACGCTACGCGGAAATCCGTCAATGAGCACCCCTTTACCCATCGACTGGATGGATTGAATTCTTTCCTTCAAGAGGAGCATCGTGAGGGAGGGAGGCACAATCACCGAATTCCGAATGCTTTCGCGAATGAAATCGCCGAAAAGGGACCCAGGAGAGTCTTGCTCCTGCCGCAGCAAATCTCCCACAGACACGTGCTGGAAATCGAAATCCTTTGCGACACGAGTGCATTGTGTTCCTTTGCCTACTCCCGGACCGCCTGACACGCGTCAGAATCTCGTGGCATGCGAGGAAAGCAAACTTACCGATCACAAACACCAATCCAGTCGAAGCAGTCTGGCTCGCATCGAGTGCTTCCCAGTCTGCGAGTATGCGGTTTGCCTGGTCCAGTAGCCAGGGATCAGTCATCCTTTCTCGGAGGTACTTGAACTCTGCAAGCCTAGAATTGCCTTTCTGCCGCTTCTGGTACATGTAGGCCTGATGAAGACACTCCAGTTTGTCCACTTGACGGACCAGTCTTGCAACGCGGGTCTCCCCGCTTTCATACTCAAGCCAGATCTCGGGCAACTTGATCGCCCAAGAAGGATTCGAGGTCTTCAGAAGACAGGACAGGTATTGGAGGCCAAGTTTCTCCTCGAGATGCTTTCTCTCTGCTTCAATTAGTGTCGGTCATTTACCCACTGAAGTTAGCCTACCTGGCGCCACTCCGTCGGCTGGTGTGATATCCCCGGCGGTCGTTTCACCAATGTCATGAATCAAACACATCATAACCGCCGCCATCTCGTCCTCGTCTTTCAGCTACGTAACTTTCAGCGAAACGGCTGCCACGTGATGTCAATAATGACGATACCTCTGGATGCGCCAGACAAAACCAAACCATCTGATACATGTGGTCGCTCACGCTCTCTGGATTGCGTACATCTCGCTTGCACCACCCGGTCCGCTTCAGGTTCTTGAGACTCTCAATGGCCTCGAGGAAAGGGAGCGGTGATGTCAAACGCTCCATCCTGATTTGACGTAGGGCGTTCACGGCCAGGTCTTCTTCGGTGGAGAGAAAGGTTCACTTTGGGTGCGGGGAATAGTGGCACAATTTTAGACGGAGAAACCCCGCACATTCGGACTAACTTTACCCCGGCCGCCTTGCCCCATTATTCTGTAGCCCAGCTGTTGTTTGGGCGCACAGGAACCTGTAGCCAAATCATTACGTAAAGGTGGAGTGGGAAGTTGGAATCTGACGGCGATGGGATTGTCCCATCAAGTGCGAGCTGACGCCAAAACTGCCAAGGTGATAAGAACACCAATCGATAGCTACAGCATTACACTGACACTTCTTGTTTGTGCCACTTAAGAAAACGCCGATGTGTAAGAATTTGGGGAGAAAAAAAAAAAAAAAAAAAAAGGAAAACCCGCCTGATTTTTTCATGTTATTTCGCACTCGATGGGATACTTCAAATCATATCGCATCAGCGTCGTTATTGAAAATTCGCGCTGCTTTTTCACTAGTCCTGTTTACTATGGTGAACAGGACTAAACAGGACTAAGGCCCTATATACTATATTTCAATTGGCAACTGATGGAATCTCAAATACCAAACGCCTCACCATCCTTTGCCGTGTTAACAATTATCTAAGCCTCTCCTTGTCACTTTGCAATTTCAAATATCGTTGCGTCGGATAGATCACAGCCAATCCCAAAAGCGTATTTCAACAGACTTCCGCTTATGCTTCGGTCGTCTACTTCGTCATACCGCAATGTGTCTGCACGTCTCATTTCTTCGATATGATGATCCAGTCCATTAGGCCAGGGCATATTTTCTTTGACAATATGCGCGAGGAGTATTCTTGAAAAGAAGACCCCTCTTTGTATCAAGACGTCCGGGCTTTCGGGATGTCGCCATTTGTATGCCTTGTACGTTATTAATGAAATGAATTGAGAGTCATAGCCTGTCGAGCTGACATGAGAAGTACTCACTTGGGTTCTGTGGCGCACCCAGTACATCAGCCTCCATATGTCATTCTCCACTATCTTTAACAGAACAATACTTGCCAAGAAAGCGTCCTGGGATGTCTGCCAGTTCTTGATCCTCTTGTCGATTTCAGGGACCAGTTTTGCTTCGTACGCCGTAATAAATTGCTCAAGACGCTGGTCAAGCTGGTTCTGTAGTACTCGAGGGGCTGGTTGTGAGTAGTCATATGGATTCGACGAGTCCAAAATCAATGGAGCGTCCTCACATTGCCATCCTTTCATGAGCAGTCTATTTGCAGTCCAAAGCATGAATGCCTTTGACACCAGAGTCTATTCGAAAGTCAGTGACAAGAATTTCATCGACGGAGAATTACACTCACCTGCTCCGCGGCGCAAGTAGAATATAGAGCGCTCAGAAGCCCATCGCGTTCTGCCGTAACACATGATTCCTGGCTGTTTCGTATGTACAATGCGAGCTCGCCGTCGACCAACGCCTCAAGATAAAACGGCGCCGTTTCTACGGAAGACCATCCAATTTTAGTCTTTCCCCACAGTCTCGTCTGCTCCGGGTTATTTGGCGTAAATTGCCTGCCGTACACATTTAGGCAGGGTCCCCCAGGCATGTGAAAAAGGCTGAGCCGAGTCAAGTTCCCAAGAGCTTGATTCTCAATACCAGGCCAACGTAGTTCCAATTTATAGCAATTGATGTCCCCTATGCCCTAGTCAGATCTTCTTCTCAAAATCCGGACGTATGCTCACATTTTTGGAATATGCGGTAATTACTCAATTGGATATTCACGCATATATATCGGAGGCCTGCGTCGTCACATCTTTTGCAGGTTCCATCGATCCTCATAGTACACTCGATGATGTTAGAACCCAAAATGCAGATATTTTCGGATGGAAGTCTTACCTCTCGCCCCTGTGCTTTGCAGCGAACACAGCCTTCAGCAATGCCGCCTTTGCCACCAGACAGAGGACATACAGCCGATTGATCAGTTGTACAGTCAGACACGCCAAACAGAGCTAAGTTTTGAGTGTTGTGGTCGTGAGAAGATACGGCTGACAGGAGGATTTGGGAGGTGCCAGGTGGGCCATCCGCGCGGTTCTCTGAAACGTCCATTTGCTTCGGCGGCAGACCAGGGGAAGCAGAAGCGGGGTGACCAGATGAATGATAGATAGGTGAGGTGAGATGCGACATTGTATTCATTGTGTAAGCGTCCAAGTCGTCTTCCTCGTATACGAAACCGTTGGCTTTTCGATGTGACAAAATCGGCAGCTGGACCGGGTTTGTCTGCAAAGTTTTGAAGTTGGGGTTCGGAGTTGATCCACAAATATTTGATGGTGGCAAGGGAAGGCCGCCCTGCGGCTCCAGTGTACACAAGTCCAAATTCAACGCCGGTGGAAAGCTATGTGGTAGCGTCACCTGGCCATTTGCGTTCGAGGCGACGGTATCTGATGTTGGGATCGATGAAGTAGCGGGGAAGAGGGTATGCAGTTGGGCTGTCTGAATACACTGCTGCTTCCATGGTTTTATCATGTCGGGCAGTGGCTTTGTCGGCAACCCCGATCTGATGTCACCGGGCTGGCTGAGTTGTATCTCCTGTACGTCAAAGCTTTGTGATTGAAACCGCTGCTGGAAGCTTCGTGGATGGACTTCAAGTCTTTGACATATCGCTTCCATGTAAATAGACTTGGCCAGGTCAGCAGCGTCTTGGTGAGAGGTCCGAGCATGGCGGATAAAAGCGTCCGGTTCTGAGAAGGGCATGAAACAGAAAACGCATATTTCGATGTCTTGCGAACCTGTGTCCGGAGTTAGCATTACTCAATACAGTGAGCGGACAAGTGCTCTTACACTCGCTGTGGTTCAATGAAAGAGATAAGTCGCTGAGCAATATTTGCCTCCTCATCTGTGCAACTGTCAGCGGGTACGCCTAGCCTGTGGGGATCGCCCACCTGCCTGATGTTCTGTGACGTGCATCCGGTATGAGTCATAGTTAGCGAAAGAAACACCACAGTCGCATGGGAAGTGTTGATGCAAGGTCATTGTGGGCTACGAATGTCTTCTGCTGCTCAACGCGAAGTGCCGGAGTCAGTCTGTCGTTTCACTGATAGGGTGGTCGTTGGGTGGACGCATGAGGCTGACAGACGACGCGTTGTCGATATGGAATGGGCCGACAATTAATCCGTGAAGACGCGTCGACCGGATCATTCATTTGTTTGGTCATGGATAACTGCGTGCGTTCTGACCAATGATGCTAAAGTCTAGACGCGCCCCTGTGCAGATTTTCGGTAAGAACTTCGGCACCTAACCGCCACGCTGTCGCTGTAGGAGCATGACTTCCACATCGCATCCTCATGCGCTGATGGAACATCATCTCTGAGTCAAGAAAAGCATCCCACGATCACAATGTTGAAGGCAGTGTGTAATTGCGCGATCGCTGCGCAATCGTCCAGTCTCCGTTCACGTGCTGTCGTCAATACCTGCATAGTTTGACATTGTTGGCAGCAGCGCTTTCAGTTCAGCTTCGAGAAAGTGGGGTAGCCGGCCGGACCGCAAAACTCGGGTCGCCTTAGGTGCTGATCGGTCAAAGCTGTGACGGGAAGGCGGATCCCACGTCTCCAACATCTCGACTAATTTTTCCCCAGATGAATATACAAGTACGGAAATACTGCATCCCTTCGACGCCGAGATGCGTTTTTTGACCGCGATTTTCCTCTCCAATTTTCCTCAGTCTCCTGCGTGGGTAAGCAAACGACTCTTCCCAGTATCTGATTTGCTTCTGCGTTCTGAGGAAGTTTGATTGGATACCAGAATCCTGGCGTTACTAGCATGACACATATCCACAAATACTCTTACACCTCGTAGATAGTATGCACACTCCAGGTAGATCTGCAAGCTGACATCCACAAATACTCTTACACCTCGTAGGTAGTATGCACACTCCAGGCAAATCTGCAAGCTGATATCCACAAATACTCTTACACCTCGTAGGTAGTATGCACACTCCAGGCAGATCTGCAAGCTGATATCCACAAATACTCTTACACCTCGTAGAGAGTATGCACACTCCAGGCAGATCTGTAAGCTGATATCCACAAATACTCTTACACCTCGTAGAGAGTATGCACACTCCAGGCAGATCTGCAAGCTGATATCTACAAATACTCTTACACCTTATGCAGGAGGCACGCACACCTCTAAAGCTTATACAGACAGTCCATATTCATACGGTTCGCAGTCGAAAAATATGTCCAAGCGCTGTGGGCGGATACGCAGTATTTGATGACTCCTTAGAATACGAATCTTGGCAGATATGTGACCAAGCTTGATTGGCATATCAAGCCACGCAGATACCCAGGAAGGTCGCTTGAAAGGGAAGTCAGCAAGAAGCTTTCGAGCGGTCGCAATCTGACAAGAAAGGCCCAGATCTCACACAAAGAGCTGCTGCCAGCATCGAGTAGATATTCTCCTTGAAAATTTCCAGCCAAGGCACTGTCAGAAGCAAGATAAGATTCGTTCGGCTTATAATTCATGAAATGCGGACCCTTGCTAGAAACTGCTTGCAAATCAACCTCAGCTCATCCGCGCAAGTTCTCCTGTGGTGGGGGCCCCTCTCCAGGCGATCCTCATTGTCCGCCGGCTTTGGTGTTATTATGACAGTCGAGACTCGTGAACGACGGGGTGTCTCCTCCATCTTCTGATGTGCTGCTGAAACCCCGTGGACTGTGCTTAGCTCCCACCGCCAGGACAGAGAGCAGGCTCTGCACTGTTATGGGCACCGGCATCATATCTACAGCAGAAAGTGCCAAGATAACAGCCGAAGAGAAGAACGTAAAGCCAAAGGTCCATAGCAGCCACCGAATTCTCCGTTTGTTACGCTTTTGCTCTCCGTCTATTGCGTTCACTGGGGCTTTTGATAAAAGAACGAATAGTCGAGCGAAGGCCAAAAGTATGAATAGCCGTAGGCCAGCGAGCGACAAAGGCATCAAGTCACGGCCTGACTTGTTCTGAAGCCACGCTCCTAAGCCAAAGAGTCCGCATAGGAAGAGGAGGATGATATGATGAATGTGTCGCGTCAAGTGATAGTTGGTGGGAGAGTCGCATGCCTCGCGCAAGACGACCGCAAATTCACAGAACTATAACGACGTCAGACTTGGTACGTTTTGCGGATGACAACACGCTACCTCCACACAGTTGACGATAATTACAGATATGCCTTTTGACACATGTGTAAAAGCCGGAGAGATCGTCTGAGCGACGACTGCGCAAGCGCCGGTGGTCAGGAGTATGAACCCAAGCAAGGCCAGTCCCACGGGCAGTTTCCGGAGTACCAAAGCAAAGGATGGCCATTTGTGATTCGTTTTGACGTAGAAGAAGTAAAGAGTAAAGACCATCAGATTTGCTATCCCTAGGGCTAGCCAACTGTCGACATTGGAGATGGTTACGGGATACATTGTTGACGCAGCTTGGTCGGAAGCGAATTCTCAACCGTGTAAGGCAACCGTGGTGCGCCTTGAGGGCAGCACCTTGTCTAAGTACGCAAGACGCCTGTGTCCTGACCAGGAAATCTGCCGAGTTTGTCGACAGTCGCCGATTCTTTCGGCTGTGACGGGCTCGCTATGCTGTATGCAAGGATGCAAATCAACTATAGTGCTAGCGGACTTTGGAGCTGCCATGAACCCCGAGGCCGAGCGTCTGCCGGATCATCTTCATGAGTGTACTCTCAGAAATCGAAGTGTCCAGAGATGTAGGTGGAAAGGTGTAAGTTGGTACAGGTGGTACGTGTTGTCCCTGTCCAATCTAATTGCAGACAAGCACCGGAGATAAAATGACACCCTGGCGGACCGCCCTTCTCCACGCCCAAGAGGGCCATGCCAAGCCCCAAGAGTTGGGTACTTCGGCCGCCTCGCCTGATGGCTTCCATGGAGGTATTTATGGGGCGTGATCCTGGCCTCTGCCCCCCACCCCCTTGCGTTAGCGTGCCTGCAGCCCTTGAGCCCACAGCGACCTTGATCTGACGCTCTTTCAACATCACCGACGTCGAGCACCATGGAAACACCACCGGATGATGCTGCCAGTTCGAGATCCGAGACATCGCAATTGGAGAGCTCTCCCACTCCCAAGACAGCGGCCACATCATGATGAGCGGGGCCACTTCCAGCCCCCGGCAAACGCGGAACCAGTCTGGCAATCGTGGCAGTCCTTGCGGATGTCACCTGGTGTGGTCTCTGCTGAACCCACCTGCAGTTGGCACGATGGTGTTATGGGTGTGGAATCTATGCCTACGTAGCCCCTGTCCTTGGTTATGTCCCTGGATTGGTGCAAAGTCCGATGTATGAAAAGGCGACCAGAAGACTTGCTCGGTCCGCATGGTTCGCATCGCAAAATTGCACTTTCTTCCTCGCAATCACCATGGCCACCTCTCAGCCAACGATTTCCGCTTTTCACACACCCCAAAGCCAGGAAGAAATAGATCTCTACATACTGAACCTGGGCAGGGAACGACCGATCCCAAGGCAAATGAGAGCTCACGAACTAGACGGCTTCCGGCGCAGCAAATTTCGCGAAGCCGTCGTCAACACCTTGAAATCGACCGGGGAGTTGTGTGTCCGATCCGAAGGCGACTTCATGATCTTACACACATGGCCTGAAACGAGACTTTCCGTTGCAGAGTTTAACGACATCGTCTACAGTCGTACACCTGAAAAAGTCGTGGACGATTTCTACACCTATGGAACAGCTGCATATCACTTGGCTAGTCACCGTCTTCGACGCCAGAAACAATCTATGAGCAAGGGGCGCGTGCGCCAAGCGAGGTCATCACCATTGTGTAAAGGAGACTCAGGGGCGACGAAGAGATTTCGAGAAGGAGGCAACTGTCGCCCTCTGTCGATGCCGGTGAGACCTAAACAAACGGGACGCTATGACAAACGATAGCACGTTCCATCCTAGGCTATGGCTTTCAAACAGAAGTTCATTCATTGCAGTTGTGTTATGTGTGCAGCAAATATTAATCTTGAGACAACGAAGGTAATCGTATTAAGTTGAGAAATTCGACTGAGTACCACTCGCTCAAATGCGCATCCCGCTCAGCAAACAACTAAGAAACTCAGTGCGATCCAACTCGGCTGCGTCCAAAAGCTCCTTCGTGTCGTCAAAGTTGTCCAGTGCAAATTCCCAAGCAGTTGTCAGGTCATCGTCATTCTCGGTCACTTCTATCATTGCCTTCCACAGTTTCAGCTGTCCGGGTTAGCACCGAAAGACTTCAAAACCGGCATGAGACATACCAAGGCAGTTTCCGTAGAGACCGCATCTTCCATACCGTAGCTCTCGATCATGTGGGAGTGGATGTTTAACCATCGCCAGCGCGGCTTCATGAGATCCGATAACCTGTGTTGCTCCGAGTAGACGAGTAACCCGATCTTACGGATTGTATCGCCTGCTGAGAGACGACCCACAATCACCGTGGTTAAGTAGCGAAAGTGAGACTTAGGAGTGTTTTCTGAGAGAAGAATTGCCTCAATGAAACGCCTGACAGGCGGCGTGTAATACTCCCGGAGCATCTGAGAGTCATCCATGGCGTTCGCCGAAGTATGTATGCGGGCAATGGGGTGTGAGATGCATGGGCTCATGCAGGAAGGCAACCGACGTGAGTGGAGGGGGAAGCGAAGGCTCTTTAATCTTGAAATGATTGCCGGAGCGGGTCTCGATAGCATCACACGCAGCTTCCATAAAGCCGACTGCAGGTGACAGGTCGACTGAGAGACCCTGGTTGAACATGCCGCTTTTGATGAGGATCGTTCGGCCCAACACCAACCCTTCCATTGCCCTTGGCCACTGGGCTAGGCCCTGGCTGAACTGAGTCGGGGCACTACTTGAACTCCGGCGGCCGTCCCTCGCGCAGCAGTCGACACCTAACACCACTACTACCCCATTCGACGTAACTATGTCAGATCCGATGATCTGGCGTAAACTGGAGCTTCTCTCTGACGGAGTGACTGGGCTCAAGAAAGGCGAATTCATAAGCGGCATCCGGGATCTTATGCTCTGTCTGTTAATGTGCTTCGCTTTGCTGTTTGCATCTCTTTTTCAGCTGCCTCTACGGCCTCTACTATTCATTTCCGACTTTGGGAGCTCGGCTACATCTTGGTATAAGAGTCTTCGCCCGGGGACTCGCAGATTCCTCACACCTTTGCCTTTGTTCATCATCGCACTCTTCGCGTACTTGATGAAATAGGGTGCCCCTGAGGATGCGCATTTCCCGGCATCGCTGACCAACAACCTTCGGAAACTTTCGCCGCCACTTCGATCGAAGACAATGAAGCATAGTATGCGGAAATCAACAAGGAAAGCAGCAAAGGCCATCGATTGCATCCTTAAGCTAACCTGCCACCGAACAACAAGTCAACATCTCAGCTTCTACAAGGAAGGCTGCGCGCGGTCCCGGTTTTGCATACCCTACATATGGCGCGAGAGAACGACAGAAGCACCGCAGGGCTCAAGAGTTGGATGCGTTCTTGGAAGTCACCTTCGTCGACCTGGAAGAATCGAAACTATCCTTCTGGCAATGGCACAGGACCTTTTGTACACTGGTGGCCCTTTCAGGCGTTTGGTCTTTTCTGAAACCCACGTCTGGCTCGTCGCCATTGAGCGAGGTAGATTCACACTTTATGAAGCTACGATAACAAAAGAGAGACTTGCGGCATTGCACGATGGGCAACCTGGAGTCCCACTTGAGGTTTCTTCCAAGAAGCTTTCAACACTCCAACAACTACGGGCGTCTCTGAGAGATGTCAAGAACACGATTGCCAGATCCCTCCCAAACTTAAGAAAGAGAAAGGCGGACGACGATGATGGCCCGACACCAAAAAGACAGCGGCAGAGCGACGCTGATTGTACGCGTCGTGAGGAAACCTTCCCGTGTGCGTCTGAGACGCCCCTGGTCGACTGGAACACGACGGAGTCTCTTCAGTCCAAGCCGCTCATACCGCAGCGTTGTGCGAGCCCTGTACCTTGTCCGGCCAGCTGTGAACCCGAAGTGAGACCTGTGCTTGGAGATGTGGTGCTGTTTCAGTCGATGGGCAATGGAGAGTACCAAGAGGTTGCAAATCAGGCGTCTGTGGAAGTCTTGCCTCAGCTTAATGCGGCAAGCGCGTACACGCATTTTACTAGTACATGGGCGGAAACAGTCATTACCTGGATGAACGGATGGTTCCAAGCATAGTCACAGACACACTCCTTTCAGAATACTATTCCTTTTCACTGCAAAACGTTCGAAACAGTGAAGGAGGGCAATTCGTATCTCCGCCCACCTGCTAGTGGGTAGATGCACTGCAGTGACTGGGGGCAGTGGGTATGAGCAAGGGCTAAGATGCATCCTCATTCGCCGACGACAAATTGACTGGGGATTGAAGGATCCTGGTCGATGTCGTGCCTCGATTTGATCCGATCTGGAGCCGGCCTGAGAGATCATACATAGGCCGGCTGGTTCCCAAAGTGCACATTCAAGCTTCCTCCTTCAACAGCGGCAGACTTTTTCAGTGCTTCGCCAAGATGTCAACCACAAATCGATTTCCTTTTTACGCAACAAACGGCTTCAGCGGCCAAGGCGAGACTTTCCATGGCGCACTTGCCCAAATTTGTTTGGCAGACTACCTCATCTACCACCAGACAACCGGAGTCTTCAGGCACTCGCTAGACAGAGACCCCGTAAGCTTTCCACGCGAGGGCATTCCCAGAACCGACTGGGAAAAATTTGAGGAGAGCTATGTTGGCCCTCTAGCTCAAAGTATAGCTCTTGGCGGGACGAGCACCAAGGCCGTTCGATTTCCGCCATTTCAAGACCAAATTTGCCTGCTGTAGGTATGCGGAGCACCGTTTTACGAGCAATTCAGCTGATACGAATGCAGTCATGTGCGCGTGTGGTCTATTGTCTCGCAGAGCGGCTTCACAGACTTAGTCCTGCGACCGCCGAAAACTCCGTCCGACGAGATAAACGACGACATATGCCACGTATTCGGGCTGGATCCTTCCGAGCTCCCAAAACCACCTACATACCAACCATCGCATGGCCAATGCGAAACGAGCACTGGCAACATGTTCAGCGCTACAGCAGCGGAAGCAGCTGTATACCTTGAATGGGAACAGGAGGCATTGGAATCTACCAGTGCAGCGACAGCGACTTGGAGTCAGTTGAGCGGGAGTACAGAAGAAACTCAGTTGCATCCTCGATACCTTCTACACAGCAATTCAGAACTGCCGATAGCGCCAACGGGCACAACGGCTTGTGACTTAGCTGTATACCCTACCGACACCCAACAAATGAGCTCCAATTACGATCTTCTACCATGGATGTATTTATATGGAATCACCGAGGACGGGGGATATCCAGATTGCGAGCCACCCCGCGATCAGCATGGAAATTACTACTGTCTATGGCGCTCCAAGTCTGATTGCATGCACCAGTCGGAAATGAACGTGGAAGAATACCAGTAAGGCTGATGATATATGTCTCAAGTGTGGCTCATTCGCTAATTTGTTGGATCTCAAGAAACTCTCTCGACGCGCATCTGAGGCGGTTCTCATGCAAATACTGCGGAATGAGAGGTGAACAGCAAGAGTCAGTGGTGAACCATCTCCGGGAGCAATCTTGGTGCAACAATATGTTGAGATTGGACATACCCTCCGCGCCGGACGTATGTAGGCAGATTCTTGCGTAACAGCAGGACGGGCGTCTTCTTACCCTAGCCTACTGATTGGGTAACGGCATGATGGCTTCGTGAACGGCATGTGTATGGATGTTTCTCCGCCACCGCGGATACGCTCTGAATACAAATAGCTCTCTTTTCCCTCGCAAATGTTCAAAGGTTTCCAGCTTCCATAATATCTTCCGCACCTTCATACACCCACAATCATCGTCCAAGAACCACCGCAATGGACCGCTATCCCTGCGTCAACAGATACAAGCACGGCGTTGACTGCCCGGGCTGGGTCAACGTGCATGGCGCTCGCTGCGAGGACTGCGTCGTGGTACGTGAACGGCCGATCGAGTAAGCAGCTGATACTGACGTGACTAGTACAACCGATAAGTGGGGGCGGGAGCATCTGGGAGGAGAACGGGAAGCAGGAGATAGAACGCACTTAAGCACAATACAACTCCACTCATCCATCTGTTCCAATGCGACGTGGTGATGCCCCTATCGGTTACGAGGTACAACGGCCAGATCCAAGGCCCAGACCTGATGCGTTGGGACGGGCTGCCAGCTGAACATCGGCGTTCCAACAGACCGTGCATCAGATGTCACCTCGAAGGGGTCGGTTGTGGAGGGCTGCAGGCTTGCTCGGGCACACAAGTACCCAGAACGCGCGGGCGTCGGGATCCTCGCACAGCCAGCGGCACGCTAGCGAGTTCCCCGGCGCCGCTGGGGTGTGGATACGTGCGGCGGTCAAGGGTCATGGGAGGGTCTCGCTTGGCGCGCACACCCGGGGTGGGGTGCGAAAATCACGAACGACGACGCCAGCCGACTTGCAGGTTTGTCGCTCCTCGGCCGGCTTCAAGGAAGGCGCTACGTATGAACACGAACGGAGGCCTCTGCTAGGCTATCGAATGTACACATGCTACGTTTGTATCGGTGGAGTTACATGATGTGTATGATTTGGTAATTTATTTCGTGGATTATTCTTGGAGCTACTTTTGGAGTAGATGTAAGTTGGGATTGTTGCTGTCCGTTGGATTGGCTTCCGTATTGTTGTTGGCCACGTTGGCATGAGCCTCGTTGTAGAATTTTTCCATGTAGTCCTGTGCGTACGATTAGCATCATTACCAGTGGATAAGAATCTGAGGGTCTTGGAGTGCCTACCCATTGGGCTTGTAACAGCGATCCCCCCTTCAGTTTGCTTTCAATCACATAGTGCTTAAAAGCAACAAAAGTAGTGAATTGTCGAGCTTCGTCATATGAAACTGACGGTACGCCTAGAAACGATAGAATATTTCGCAGCATCTTTGCCATTGTGGCTGAGATTGGTATGGTTGTGGAGGGCTTTAGTTCACGGAATGATGTCGGTTGGATGATATGACCTCTAGTAAAAGGGTGAGAACGCGTATTTGTACTTTGGCGACTGCTCCCGTTCCATGACTCATCTATAGTAGTGAGCAGCCTGCGCAGGTAAGTCCTGGCCTCTGCTTGCTTTGATGCGAACAAACATGCTAGACTACCTTCACAATTCTGAGCATCTTTGGGCTCGGGACTGCATACAAGTGCTGTCGCGCTGGCAATGAGCAGCAACATTGTCAGGCGTACAGCCTCAAAGCCGCAGGACGACTGGGCGGCAAGTTTGATTGCTGGACCCCCCCACCCCTCTCGGAAGGCAACGCGAGGCGAGCACGATACCAGGCTCTAGATACCTATCGATAGAGACCACTGCACGAACAGGCACCTCACAGTCATGGGAACTTACCAGGCTCCTCCGTGGAGGGTGACGACTGGCTCAAGCAAGAGCCGAGAGACCAGGCAAGCCAGGACATTCTTGGATACATTGAAAGCCTTGGGTGCTTCAACGAGGACAACAGGGGGCCTTGTCGCGTTTCTCAGCCACCCATACCCAAGATCGACGCTCCAGAGTCATGGATAGTAGCCATGCCTTCTTTCTCGTTGGAGATGAGGGTATGCAGAAGCAAGGGTGGAAGGACCATGCAGGCCACCGCATTCTAGCCCCGGAAAGCCTGGAGCAACGCTGATCGATTGCGGGCATGTCTGCGAAGGTCGCTTTGGTGCAAAGGACTTGGCGGGGTCTTCTGTGGCGAGATTGGACACTGTCTATTCATGTATCTGGGTGCTATATCTTCTGAAGATGTCTTATCACCGCCTTCCCAGCAACGGTTGGCTTTGATCGTCGCTCTTTACAGGTTGAACTCTGGAGACGGCTCTCTTCTGGAGGTATTCCAGGCGTAATTCTGCCCAACTTGCCAACAATATATCCTGCTGCAGTAAGCCTTCGATCTTTTGCCATGATGATATTGCATACCTCTTCTTCCTCCGTTGGCCAGCGGCGTTTAAAGGAGCGAAACACTCCTCTCGCGGAGCTCTCATCTGGTGCAGTCATGATGAACCAATTATGCAATCTTATCCACGCTTCTAAGCGCAGGCGTTGGAAGAGGTTCATGATCCCAGCTGATTGAGAGGCCTACTATGCCCTGTTAGGATCATATGCGAAGTAATTTGTGATGATGCGGATAACTGTTTGCTGGCTGTTCGTGCTCCGCGATCAGCCTTTATGTAGAAACGCCAAAACAGAGCGCCCTGCTACCCATGGTTTAGTTCGGCGAGTCAACCTGGGGCGAACATGGTATCATGCTCTAGAAACCAATCAATGGTGTCACCGCGGCTGATGTGATACGAAAGATCTGAGGTTGGCGAGCCTAGGATCAGGCTCTAAAACTCAGCTGCAGAATGACCCGTATTGCCAACTCACTTCTGCGGGAAGGCCACTTAGAGTCATTTTGAGCCCAGCCTCTACTACCTGTCAGTGGGAAGCGTCGCGGCCAATGTCATGCAAACGGTCAGTGATCAACGCCTCAGAGTCATGGATATTGACCAGGCCATCTTTCTCGCTAGAGATAGAGGCTTACTGAAGCAAGGATAGGAGGACCATACAGACCGGCGCTTTCTTGGCGCAAACTTGACGTGGTCTTTTCTGTGATGCGACTCAAACTCATGCCACACTTCCAATAGGGGCCTCTCGCAGGGGGGGAGTGCACGACATGAATTGACAGACTTGGTACCTCACAGCCCTGAAAATGCCCCTATTGTACGCCCGCTGCCTATCTCGAAGGCGAAGCCCTCTCCTCGTCAGGTCAAAGCAGCGGCAGGGGTCTCTAAGGCAGTATCTATCGATTGGCTCTCATGGGACGCTGGGTAGTGCGGACAAGAGTGGAAGTGTCACATTAGTCGACCAGTGCATGCCAGAAAAACGCGGAAGTCTCCTGCTCACTTCTGGCCCATAAATGCGCAGTCTCTGATGAAATCAGGCCGTGAGCATTGCAAAATGAGCTGCAGTGGTGTATAGGAACCTGATCAGGAGAGGGGAGTTGGAAGAAGCATGGACATGGATCACTTGTGGCTGCCTTATAGGCGAACCACCGCTTTCCATGCTGCAAGTCAATGCCATTAATGCAGCGGCTTTTATGGGCGTACGTTTCCCATCATATGCTTCCACCCACGAAGCCTTTCTTCTACATAGCACAGTCACCATGACACCCGCCAATATTTTCGACTATTCGCGGCTTTTTTGCTCGCTCCTGACGGCGTTGCTATCCTTACTGGCACCATTGGGAGCCGAAATCTCTTCAGCACGGAGCGTTATCCGGGCTGGCTGCGCTTTGTTTGCTCTGGCATGGAGCAACGTGGTGTTCCTCTGGACTCTGTCCATCCTTCACCATAATGCCTACAGCCTTTCTACTTTGCACTCTGTTTTCTTTGCTATAGCAGCTACTCTACAGGTAGACAGGCTGAGCGACGACCCGAAGCGCCTCTGGACACCCTACAAGTGGGCTTGGTGCTTGGGGTGTATCAGTGATGCCATCGGCGTGGCACACTTCATTTCCCGACGAAATATCGACTACATAGCATGGTTGGACCTCGCTTTCGCTATAGGGAAGCTTCTAGTCTACGCCGGTATACAATGCTGCGTTTCGTTCGGCAGCGACCACAGGTACAAACGAGTACCTCAGGACGACGCCGAAAGCACGATACCCGAACTTGACGAAATCGACATTGAGACGGGCCCGGGAACAGCAGCCAAAACATCACAGTTACGCGACCAGTTCAAGATCTTCTGGCGATTTATCTGGCCGAGCAACAACAGGGCGATGAAAGGGCGCTTCATTCTCGCACTAGTGCTCAATTCAGGGATACAAGTAGTTGGTCTCTGGATTCCCCACGCTCTTGGCCGCTTCATCGATCGACTACCAATTGCTAAGACGTGGGGCTCAGTCGTCTTTCCTGTCATCTTCTGGTTTGCGCTTGAATTCTCAAGTCCTATCCTCCTCGGGCTAAAGCAACGGGTATGGATAAAGCTCAGAAGCTATCGCTCAAGGTCGCTCGACAAAGCTACATATGCCAACATTATGAACGCAGACCACTCTTTTCATACCACCAAAAGCCCAACAGAGCTCATCAACAGCGTCGACAAAGCGAAGGGCGTCGAGAATTCGTTCGACGGTCTGGTGGAACATTCAGCTGATGGGCTTTTCATGATCTACGTCATGATTCCCGTTATAGCTGCAAGATTTAACCAATCAATACTCAGCCTTATCGCAGTTTGTCTCATGACGAAATATGTCATTTTCAGACGAGCGGTCACAGCACTCTTCCGAGCTAACGATGTCCTGATCTCACTCAATGAGTTACACAAGAAGCGGCGGGAAGACACTGTGAGAGGCCGTGCAACGGCAGCCGCCTTCCAGCAGCTAGGATACCTTGTCGGTGCAAACGACAGCAGAATTGAGGAGCTCGGCCAAGCCTTGGACACATACCTCATACACGCTTACTGGTTCTGGGCGAGCAATCTATTGGTAGACTGCGTAGGACAGTACGTCGGCATACTGCTTGTATGTGACCAGGTTCTCTCTGGAAACATGACTACTGGAGATATTTTTGTGTGGCTTGCATACTGGAACCAAGTGGCCTCCCCGGTAACTGCAATATTGAAAGCCCTGGAAAACCTCTCGAAGAGTTTTCAGGATGCTGCCAAAGCAGGGGAGATTCTGGATATGAAACCCCGAGCGACGCAAGGGAAAGGCTTGACAGTCACACAGGGTGGATTGGAGCTTAAGGATATCACGCTCAGTCTCGGAGGCAACGCAATCTTCGAGAACTTCAACCTCAGTGTCCCCGGCGGTACCAAGGTGGCTCTCGTTGGGCCTTCGGGTGTGGGAAAGTCAACAATAATCGGCCTCTTGAGCGGCCAAATTGTACCCGACAGCGGCGAGGTCTTGGTGGATGGGCAGAACATCAACGAAGCTGACCACGATGTGTACGTTACGTTTTTGCCAATCCTTGAAATATGACTAATATCATCAAAGTCTCGCGAGTCATATTGGCGTCCTCGAACAAAAACCTCACGTTTACGACACCACGGTCAAGGACAACGTGCTCTACGGGAAGCGGGAAGCAACAGATGAGGAAGTGGAAGCCGCCTGTCGGAAAGCTTGTATTCACGACGACATCGTCAGGCGTGAGAAAGGCTACGAAACTCCGTGCGGAGTGGACGGGAAGTAAGCAGCAAGATCTGCCCATATATTCCAAGCTAATCGTTTTGAGGCACTTTTCTGGGGGCCAGGTCCAGCGCATTACAATCGCGCGGCTATTTCTCATGGACCCAAAAATCCTCTTGATAGATGAAGGTACCAGCGCTCTGGATGCAGCAACCGAAGGTTTCATCAAGCGAAGCATTGCGGAGACTTTCGAAAGTCGCACCGTTGTCACCGTAGCGTGGGTAACCACCTGTTGATAGTAGCTAGATGCTGATTCCTTTAGACACCGGCTGTCTTCTATCAGGCAGGCAGACATAATAATCGTGCTCGGCGAGAAAGGAGAGATCGTCGAGAGTGGAACTCATGACACACTCTTGAAGTTGAAGAGGAAGTACTGGGAATACTGGCAGGAGCATCTGGGAGAGCAGTCTTAACCAAATCACGGGGAGATATTCTAGTTTAGTGTAGTATTCAGATTCCGCTGTCGGCGATCGCAAGGCTGCCGCATGCCGGAGCTGACAGGAACCTATTACACTTAGCTTAGGAATCCAGGGCGCTTTTCTACATGTAGGCGATGACCTCGTCTCCCGGTGGATAGGCGTGCTAAAAGCATGTTTGAAAAAAACGTTGCTCAAAGGTCAAATGTGAGGTACGAAATTGAAAATGAGGCCAAGGCATTCTGGCGCAAGGCAAAAGATAAGACGGCCCAACAGTGGTTGATTATGCCTCACACGTCGGACATGAAAACACATGCTGGTCAAAGCAGTCAACTCGCCAATCTGTATTTATGCTGCAAACTTCAAAAAGTTCTAGGCAACTCCTATCAACCGTATAACCTTAACCTTAAGCGTGCTTTGCGCGGAGTGCTTGTGACCATGAATCCTCATATTGCCGCAGAACGGTCAACAAGACGTCCCTTATCGCGGCGGGGGCTACTAGCGGCTGAACAGGTTTGCAGACGACTGGCTACAATGAGACAGTGAACGGAAGCCTGCCATCGATCCGTTCTTGATTTCTCTGTCTTTCTGATGAGTAGATTATGGTCAGACTGACGCTGTGCCGGGGTATACGATGCTCAGCGGTAGGGTGCGATTATTAAAAACTCATCGCATCCTAGGTCCTTGTAAATGGCATGCGTATCCACATTGGGGACAGGTACTTCCTAGTACTGTGGGGGCACTCTCGCACTTTTGCGCCTGACCGTGAAAAGCCCAATGTTATGGGTCACTCGCAGCATGTGTTCGTTACCCCTGTTCCTCGCCAACCGATGTTCATGCTAGAACGCGATGACCAATCCACTCGAGGGGCATCAATGGCGCGACTCACTTGGATGATGAAAGTGAAGCAGTCGAGAAACGCGGGATAAGACATGTCTGCAGATGAAAGGGGCACGGGTATTGATTGGAGCTCGAAGCCCTGACAACAAGGTCGATGTCGAGCTTTGAATCATGCCGGTACATCCTAGTTCCAGCTGCGCCCGATAACAGATAATAGATGCCGGAGGCAGGTAGTGCGATTTGAACTATGATAAACCCTCAGGCACGGTTGCAGAATGGTGTTCTTGATCTATTCGCCCTGATGTGCCTAGGAGCCCCTGGGATTTGCGTCGGAGAGCAAGGTTGAACTGGCTCCAAATGACTCGTTTCAAGCTACAATAAATGCTCTATCTCACCTCTCAGGCCGCTTTCTTCACGGAACTTGAACGAAAACTTATGTTATCTCCTCGCCCAAATTGCACGATGGCTAGCGCAACAGCTGGAGACATCGAGGCTACTAAAAGAGCCACCTCTATCTTAGAATACAGTGTTTCCTATTCACACTGGGATATCATAAGCCAGGAACCCTGTGAGGAATTCCGTCAGCGAATGCAAAGGGCGACAAAGAGCAAGTTGTATTGTACGTTTTTTGTTATAATTTTGGTCTAACTAGCCACAGAGTGGGCGCCTAAATACGCTGAGCTGCAGCTCTGGAAACACACTGTCAAGCACTTTGGAGCTTCTGCAGAGTTTTGGCAAAGTTTTGAGGGGGAAGTTTATAGATTCTCAAAGCAGACTAAATCTTAGATTAGGTTGGAAAGGAAGGGGATGGAGGCGCGCTAAGACGATAGTATGTGAGTTGCGAGTTTGGAGAGGAGGCATTGAGAGAGCCTATGCATGTTCATAGTGACTCACGGGCCTCATTTCACGCACACAATCTTGACAGGTCACTGTTCTGCCCCTATTAAGAAATCAACATTCCAAAACGCGGCGCAGCAATAAGGCACCTCGGAGGACTCACCTTGAAATACCTACCTCACTTATGATGGTAGGTGCACGGGCCTTAGTGGTTTTCCCAGTCACTGTGGCCCGTGCACCTGAGCTGAAGTAGCGCACCTATTTAAACAACCGTTGGTCCCCAAGGCATCATGAACTTGTTGGTTCCTCAAAGATCTGACGAATCTTTTCCACAAGGTACAGTGTGAGTCCTTCTTTATTTACTGGAGTCTTCTAACACAAGAATAATAGAATAATGGTCGTCCAGTCTGAGTGGGAGTGGCTCTTCAGCCCTTTTGATGCACTCGGTCTTCCCTATGGAAATCTAGATGCTAAGAAAGTAGAGAAGGCATTCAGGAAAGCAGCTTTCGTGTGCCATCCCGATACGAAAAAGAAACGGCGTCACGGGATATCGAATATCCGCTGGCCGCAGATGTGGCAAGTTGAAAACGCCCAGGCCTTTCTCTTAGACGTCCTCGGTACCGCTACCTATACGAAGCTGGAGAGATTCAAATCATTCCCGCAAACTTTTTATCCCAACAAGAACCCGTTCTTCGAGATTCCACAGCACCTTCCACCTTCCCTTAGGCAGTGCAGCATTTGTTTGGTTGTCGTCGACAGGCATGATCTCTCTGCGCATGTAGAGATCGACCATCGAGACGGCTACCAAACACATCTAGCGGAAACCGTCCCGGGCTTACAAGTCTGCCGCTCCTGCAGCTCAGCTATGATTTCCGACACCTACGATACTCACATGACCGAGTGGCATGTGTGTCCCTTGTGCGACTCATTCGAAGCCCTGTTGTTCGATCATGTACAAACTGTACATCGTCTTGATTGCTGCCCGGGCTGTGATCTCAGTGATGAGCCAGCAGTTCACATCACAACCATGCATCCTGCGTCGGCATGTCTCGTGTGTGCAGAGATGATTTTCGACGAAACTATGTTACAGCATTTGAAGGACGAGCACAGCTTCCATCCGTGCCGATGTTGTGACCGATGGGAGATATCTTCAACTGGCTTTCAGGAGCACTGTGAAGAGCGGCACCTGGTCAAATGTGGTCTCTGCGGAGAGGTCACCATAGACAAGGGTCTTGCCAACGACCATATGGTTGAGGGTCACGGGCTTCAGACTTGCCCATCGTGCCCTTCAAACAGGGTTTTTGACATCGCACACGTACTCGAGAAACACTCTCTCGAGCCGTGCCCGGCATGCATGCTGGACTATGAGAAAGATCGCCTCGCCACTCATCTCCGATTCGAGCACCACTGGGTCGTTTGCGACATCTGTGGGTCACCAGAATCTGACGAGGACGCCCTCCTAGAGCATTTCGATCACCATACGACATGCACCCTGTGCGACGAGCCAATGCTGGAAATCCAATATCGGCAACATCTTGAAGACAGTCACGCCCTTCTTCTCTGTCTTTTATGCGATGAAGCCTTTGCACCAGTGGAATTGCCCGGCCACTTTCGGGATGCTCACCCGCAGACGAAGCCGTGCCTCGTATGTCAATGTCCTCAAACCGAGAACGGCATGAATGGACATATGATGGAAGTACATCATTGGATCAAATGTCGGTTTTGCGCCGGATTGTTCCCCGAAGAAGTGCGGAAGAACCTTCATGAAGAAAGCCACCAGGCCGAAGCTTGTCTTGAATGCGGCCAGGCTGTCGCCGAGTCAGAAGCACAGAGCCACCTCACTGAGGAGCACGGTTATCAAGCCTGTCCTTTCTGCGCTCGACTGTCGAAAGAGCTACTACGTCACATCAACGATAAGCACCGTCTCCCAGAGGAACATCAGCCGCCGGACTTCCTCCCGGACATCGCGAAGTCCACACCTTTGGGTGTTCTTAGGACTCAGCTGGAAAGCCTCGCGAGCCAGGCCAGTCGGCAAGAGTCACAAGACGCCTTGAAAAAGGCGATTGGGTTCATTCAGCAAGCGATGCTCTGTGAGGGGTCCATCAACGGCCGCCAAGAATCGGCGCCTTCCATGAAAAGATCTATGCAGTGTTCTTCTGTGCCGCACCCGCCCAAGAAAGCCAAAACGTCGAAGATGGACTTGAGTGTACTGAAGGAGCGGCTCACGAGCCACGAAACGATTCGGCATGTTATGCAAATAGCGACATCCGACGATAGGGCCCTTGAGCACTCTTGCCTTGCCGAACAAGAAGAAAGCTCAGACGTATATGAGTCAGTATCCCGAATCAGCCTTTTTGTGGACAAATGCGAGCGCGCAATTGGGTTTGCGAAGATTTGTCAGTACCATGGGCTAACCCGGATAGCCGGGCTGCTTGATAGCACCCGGGCACGGTCAGCGAGACAAAGAACAGACTCAGCCGAGATCAACAGAATTCTAACCCTGAAGAACTACGAAAACAATGAACACAACCGAAACAAACTTCATCGGCAACTCAAGCTTGGTCGCTGGCTGTTGAAGCTTTGCGGATCGTACCCAGGACTCATCTGCTTTCTTGCTGTGAGCAATGTCAACTTAAGTCCGGAACGTCTACCATTTACGGAGGAAGGGCTGGATCATTTTCATACAGGACTTGCGCGATATTCGCGCCTATGGACAGCAGGAGACATGTACCTAGAATACTTGGAAAGGGGACTCAACGGACGATCTCTCGATGTTCGGGCCATCACCAGTCTTTTGATCGAGAGTTAAGTCGAACAGGGGTCATTTGCGCTTTTATATGAAAAGAATCCATATCCTGAGACTTGTAGTATCTCTCGTATTGCTCTGGAACCACACTGGTCAAGTTTGACGCTGCCACCATCTGTCATCGGCGAGGAACCCGTAGGTGGCTAGATGTCCACCAAAAGGTTCCATAGCCATCTCCTTTCCCCTGAATAGATGTAACCTCAACTTCAGGGGTCTGCTCTGAAGTGATCTCCTGGCCATCTTCTTCCCATCTTCTCCAAAGCTCGTCGATCCTCCAAAATGCTTCAAACGCACTTGTGCTGCCCTTTTTGAAGTGCATCCACATTCCATTGGTAGCATTCATCTGGCACAGAATTTTCACCGCTTTTGGCAAGCTCTGTGCTATCTTTTTGCAATCGTCGTCTAGAGAATCGATCTGATGATAGCCGTGCATCATTGCCATCGAGAGTCCTATAGAGTCATGCTGCCTGAAAGTGTATAAAATATGAACGGCGAGCACAAGTCGGAAACTTCT